CAGACATGAGAAGCAAAGACCGTTCTCGTACACCATCTCCATTCTCGCTTCCAATGTTTTCTCCTTGAATGACGGGCAGTCAGCCACCCTGTGCTTGTCGCCGCACATCAGACAGGGTGGCGGCGAATGTGGTTCCACTTCTCCAGCTCCATGAGTCGCTCCAGTTGTGAGCGCTGTCCTCCGCACCGCCCCTTCACGCTGCGTGCCTGTTGCATGTTTCCGTTCCGACGTCCCAGACTGTACGGCCGAGAAGCTGAGGATGCTGACTTGCACCTGAAGCCATTCGCTGAAGGTCTTCAGAGTGGGTCGTTCTGGCCGTAGCTGAAACACTTCACGACCCCATTCTCGGGCCAGCTCATTCGGCAGTTTCTCCACCACCCTCCTGAGGTTCTCACTACTGGACAGATCGCTTGAATAGCCAAGATTCTGTAGGACGGTCACTGTGTTATGAACGATGGCGTAGAACTTTTCCATGGCTGGAAGATCCGTGAGAGCTGGTGGGTTGGAAGTGAAGATTTTCCTCAAGTGACTTTGGATGATGTCTTCTTCTCTCCCAAATCTTTCTTGTAGGGTTCTCAGAGCTTCCAGGTAGAGGCTGCCATTGAACAGCATGCCTTCAATAGCTTGGGCTGCCGGCCCTTCTACGGCGTTCTGCAAGTGAGCCATTCGCTCTGAGTCCGATAGAGACGGCTGGTCGTGGACGAGCGCCTTAAATAGGCCGATCCAGCGAGGCCACTCTTGAGGGCTGCCTCGGAAGGTAGGCAGCGTCAGACGTGGTATACTTTTCACGAATGCTGATGGGCCCGGGACGTCACATCGCCGCTCGGAACCCAACGCTGTCACCCAGCTGGTTGGGTCCTGGTTGGCAGTTCTCGGCGTCTCGTCGGCCATCGGAGAGGTACTAGTAGCTTTCGGTGGCGGCGGCTCGCGCCGGAGCTCTCCCAAACCACTGACCACGCGTTCTTGCTCTTGCTCGTTTCCCTTCTCGCGGCCGCATCCGGTGTTGTTTTGACGACTAGGCGCCACTTCCACAGCGACCTCATCTTCAAAGTCGTGTCTTCGTTCCCACTCCAACTCGTTGCCAGCTGCCTTCCAGAGACGCGCCTTCAAAGCTGCACGTTCCACCTCCTCTTCTAGAGCCCTTTCTTCCAGCAAATCTTCCTGCTTTCTCATCTCTCGTTCTCTTTCTTTCCTTGCTTTGAGATGCTTTAGTTCGAGAGCTTTCAATTCCGCGGTGATTTCAGCCTCCTTGAAAGTGGCTGAAGCCTTTGAGCCTCGTGATATGTGAGACCCGCACACTTTGCTTCCTTCCTCAAGTTGCACCGATGGTAGGGGGAGCATTCCTGTGCGTGACGCTGAGCGGCTCGCTGATGGGCGAGTTATCGCCTCTTCAATTCTTGCGACCGTTTCGGCGTGCCGTGCTGTTATTCTTGTGGCGTACTCCTCCGCTTCTTCCAACTCGCTCACATCTTGCAACTTCTCTACGAACTCCTCATTTGCCTCCATGAAGGCGTCCAGCGTTGTGTGCAGCGTCTCGAGCCGCTTCTTCAATTCCTCTTCACTGGCTCGCCGCGCTATTTGCGCGTCAGCCCTGTTACACGAGCGTGTGAACATGGCCGCCTTGCGACCGCGATGAAGCTTTAATGCCTTCCGTTCAGCGGTGATATCTCCATCCTCTCCTCCTGCAGGGTCGCAGTTCTCTGGCATCGTCTCCCGGTTCTCCGTCTCCGTCTCCTCTTGCCCTGCAGGCTCGCAATTCTCAGGCGTCGTCTCCTGGTGCTCCGTCTCCATCGCGTCTTCCATCGGTCCACGATACTTCTCAATTCGACTGACACGGTGGGAGCAGAACTTATCGACGTCACGGACGGTTGTTCACGCACAGTATCGACGTATTGTACATTCTCTTCTAGACTTCTTACTTTCTTAGCTGATACGATCCGGCCCGGAGGACCAGCGAATGTTGCGGACGTCTCTGGCTTTCTTGTGTGGACTGTATAGTGTTTGTTACGTCTCGCAGCATTCGGGTTGGCGGCCGGGGAAATTGTGAGAGGATGTAGGATTAATAGAGGCAGTGAACGAATAATGAAGAAGGGAAGTATCTAATCGGTAAATAAATAAACACGGATGAATAATTTACGGATCAAGGTTCAACAGCGCCCGTCTCAGAGCGCACAAGGAGCACACCTCGCGGCATGCATGTTGGGTCGTTCAACAGCGCCCGTCTCAGAGCGCATAAGGAGCACACCCCGCGGCATGCATGTTGGGTCGTTCAACAGCGCCCGTCTCAGAGCGCATAAGGTGCACACCTCGCGGCATGCATGTTGGGTCGTTCAACAGCGCCCGTCTCAGAGCGCATAAGGAGCACACCTCGCGGCATGCATATTATGTAGGATGACAGAGGATTGATAGGAATAGTGAATAGACCCGGCCACCGTGAAAACTGTGAGCTGCGCGCCGCTCTCCTTTCCTCCACTCGCCACTTCGGTTTCACTCACACCACCACCACTTAAACACAGTCTTCTAAATAGAAGAGTTCGCTATTGACCGAAGACGGCGAGATGGCAGCAGTACAGCACAGACACAGTAGTTAGAAAAGTTAGACGTGAGCGGCAGCAGAGCGCCGCCGTCCGCGTTTGAGAGCGAAGTGAACTCGTCGGCGACTAACAGTGAAGTGAGACCGAGCAGAGCCCGGTATCGGTTCAAATACATGGCCAAAATGTCACTCGATACAGGGGTCGTGACGCAGAGCACAAAAAAGGCGGCCGGCACGCCGCGTCCCCTCACACACCCTTCCAGTTCCCAGGCCCAGGGCCCCGCCGGCCCCATTCGGAACAGGCCACAGGCCACAGGTCAGCCGGGTCGCAGGGTCACAGGGGGACGCCAGTCCACCGTTCGCGGCGTCGATATGGCCCATTGCTTGTCTCAGAAAAACCATGCGCGGCGACAGGTGGCCGCTGGGCGGGCGGCGGCCCGGCTCGGCGTCGGGACCGGCGGGCGGGGTGAGGGGCGGCGCGGCGGCGGCTCGGCTCGGCATCGGCGGCGCGACATTTGCCTAGTTTGTCGGCAACACATTAGGTGTTAAGCATAGTAATTACGGATGAACTTTGTGCCAATATATTCAATGCACAACGTATGTAGCATGCCTACAACCCTCACTGATCCTGCTATACCTATAGGCATTTGGCACCAGCTTGACCAAGGGCATGAACTTCACAGTTGCACAACCTTTTGTCATGTACCACCATGCACTTTTTTACTTAAGGTGCACATAGCAGTGCACACAACAATGTGCACAGGGCCTACACAAAAACAACATGATTAGTGTGCACTATGCACAGCATTGTACCCTGATTATTTGAATATTGACCACTCAACAGTCAACAGTCAGGAGATAATTATTGAATATCACATTTATTATACATCACTTGTCAAACAAGAGCATGATGACACACATTTTGACAAGCAATCATGGTAGTATTCCAATAAGTTGGACAGTAACCTCCCTGGGCGTCATTTTTCCAGGAATGTACCTCTGCAGGTGTTGTGGTGGTAGGCTAGGTTGAATTGGATTAAGTTAGGCGAAGTAAGGTGGTTAGAACCAGGTCAGACCGTAAGGCCTGGTCAGGTTGATTTTAATCTTTCATTCTAATTTGACATAGATACCTATTACCTATGTTTTTGCTCCAGCCTGAATTTCATTAGGTAATGAGTTAATTTTGCTTTGTTTTTATCTGTCTTGTTTTGTGTTTTTGTCCCTTATATTTTGCCCCATAGGCAAGGGTGGAGCCTTTTCAGGGAAGGTGGTGGAGCATGATTGGAGGCGCTCAACTAGACGGCATAGGAGGGCACGATTTCTGAACGCGCACTGATGCCTGATTCAAGCCACGCTGTCTTCATGCGGGGCGGCGCGCTACTTAAAAGTCCCAAAAAGAACGGGAAGTGATGCCGATAGAACCTTCTTCAATCATTCTGGGCTAACGCTTATGACTTGGAAAAAGTCGCGATCCCAATTCAATCGAAAACCTGTGGGTTCTTGTTCAGCAGGAGGTGTATGAAGAGCCACCCGCCAATCGCCATAAGCACTGCTCAACCGCAGGCACAGGTTACTTTAGACGGCGTTGGTCCGCATCGAAGCCAGTGTGCTGGAGAATTCATTGGCTGAAATGCTCCAGAACATTCACCACTGTGTTTTTATGAAAGGTGGCTACAAGCTCAGTTAAAAGAAAAAGTACCAGATTGTTTTGCTCTTTAATTACAGCGGGAAGAAAGATGTCCGTATAATTTCGTTACACCCCCTGTAATGTTCAAATGGTTGCTAAATTCGAAATCAGCTCCAAAAACTAGCCTAGAAACATGTAAAGCTCGAATAAGGAACCGAGGTCATCAAAGGTCATTGAGCTGACCTGACCTTCAGGTGACCTTGACACCCACCCTAATGCATGGGACCAGCATCATATCACATGTTTCAACGCTTGAAACCACGTGAAGACTGCAACCGCGCGGCTAATGCGAGCCGACATACGCCGAATCGCGATTCGGGCCAAACATGGTCTCGAGAAATAGGTCACAGGTCAAAGGTCATTTGGGTCAGGGTCGTGAGATTTTCAGGGTAGGTGTAAAATTGATAAAATCGGGGGCATTGAAAGTTTCGTCGCGATCGGACGGTTTTTACGTGAGTTACTCACGAAAAACTGATATAGCGCACCCAAAAAGGCAGAAATACACACATGCGATATCCTATTCTACGAAAAAAGTGCATCATTTTTTAACGTCGCCGACAAATTGTAATTACCCTAAGCTCAGGCAGATGTATGGTAGAAAATCCCCCAAGTGAAATACACTACGGCGGAAATAAAATACCCTACGGCGGAGCTCGGTTGCAATTTGTAAATACGCGGTGAAAACAGGGCGCCGGAGGGCATATTAGTCACGTGACATTTAGAGCTTCTCCCCCTTTGTTGGCCTTTTACATGCCAAACGTCACGTGTAAATTTTACGAACCTTGATCAAATCGCCCCAGGCGCCCTGTTTTCACCGTCGTCCAACATAAGGCCCTATATGCTAAAACCTAAAGGCTGCGCCTGCAATTTTTGAGCTTATTTGATTTTTTAAAAGGATACCAATTTTTCGTTTTTCAGTTTGAAACTTACCAACACCATTTTCCTGAAAATCGGGATGAAAAGCAACCAATATTGATATCGCTGCATAAGCTGAGGTTGAGCTGAGGGAACCAGGAAGCAAGTAAGAAAACAATCTGATTATACTATAGTAGGCAACCTTAATTTCAATATTGACATAATATCTCCTGTTTCTATAAGTTTTCTAACCAAAGACCATTTCCCATCTGTCCCAGTTCAGACATTACTCACATTAACGTTAATTCATCTACCTATAGCTGTTGTAAATATTTTAATATTTATAGCAAAAATAGTATATCACTTGTCAGCAGTTCAGCACACATCAATGTGTTCTTGATTGTACAAAGGCCATTCTGAATTTACGGTAGCCAGGTAAGTATATTTCATGGTAAATATGAAGATATTCAGAGTAGATAAAATCAATATTTGGAGGTAATGAAAGTGAAGATTGCACGATGTTGAGAGTTGAGACTCGTAATTCATAAACCTTGCTTGGAAAACGCCCAATAAGCATTGGGAATTTTGATGTTAGGACGTGTCTATGTATAAGATCTCTATGGTCGTGCCAAACTTCCCCCCGATTGTCCACAATATGAAAAAGCCCTGGTGAAAATAGCCTTTGCCAGGCGAGGGTTAGATACAGTGTCCCAAAATTGGTAGATGTAGGCGGGAAACGACATCCAAATGAAAATCATTTTCCACTCTCACCTCCAGTTTTAAAGCCCAATTTTCCACTCCCAATTCCACCGAGAAGGAGCAACTGCGTGAGTGGTTGTTTTTAATCTGTCACAAATTGTAGATGGATTAATGTTATTGATCATTTCCCATTCTTTTTGGGCCTTACCTGACCGACAATTTTTCACTCTCATCCTTTTTTTTGGTCAGCAATTTTCCCCTCTGACACCCAAGCAAAAATATTATTTTGGGACACTGGTTAGATAAAAGATTCTCACTGATGATGCCCACATAAAGACATTATATTCTATGAAACGCTGAAATGGTAGGCAATTTCCAGCTGCTGATCTAAGCCATTTTCCTAAACGATCTGTCCTGTGTCTGTGCACCTGACTGTGGTCTATAGGTGGCCTGTCTGGTGGCTCTCTGCAGGTGATGACGTGGGCGCTGCGCGTGGCGGGGCTGTGGTCTGTGGGTGACCTGTCTGTTGTCTCTCCCTGCAGGTGATGACGTGGCTGCTGCGCGTGGCGGCGCTGTGGTCTGTGGGTGACCTGTCTGTTGTCTCTCCCTGCAGGTGATGACGTGGCTGCTGCGCGTGGCGGGGCTGTGGTCTGTGGGTGACCTGTCTGGTGGCTCCCCCTGCAGGTGATGACGTGGCCGCTGCGCGTGGCGGCGCTGTGGTCTGTGGGTGACCTGTCTGTTGTCTCTCCCTGCAGGTGATGACGTGGCTGCTGCGCGTGGCGGGGCTGTGGTCTGTGGGTGACCTGTCTGGTGGCTCCCCCTGCAGGCGATGACGTGGCCGCTGCGCGTGGCGGGGCTCCGCTCGCCGGGCCCGGTACCGGCCGGCTGGCTGGGCCGCCGCTGGTGGCGCCGCCGCTGCACCGCCGCCTCTGCGGCCGCCGCCGACAGCGAGCTGTTCCACCCGGGCGAGCGGCCGGCCGCCGACCTCGACTGGCCCTACCTGCTCTGCGCCCAGAACGCCGCCGCCATCGCCGCCGACGTGCAGCGCCGCAAGGGCGTCGGCGACGTGCGCCGCGTGCAGCAGCTGCACGCGCAGTACCGGACCGCGCCGCCGGCCGGCCGGGCCGAGCTGCTGCGCCAGCTCAGTGAGGAGGCGCTGCGGCTGCCCAACCGCACCCGGCCCGACCGGCCCGGCGCCGAGCCGCAGCAGATGGTCCCCGTCAAAACCGTCGGCCAGAAGCCCCACTTCGACTTCCCCGTGAAGGACTTCCGGCACCGCGCCGAGAAGCTCAACATGTTCAGGATGGAGAACCTGGGCCTGCTGACCGGCAGCAGGACGTATGTAAGTGACAGAGGGTGGATGAGGCGCTGGGAGTTATAATGAGGTGCTAGGACGACATACATATATTAAATACATGGGCACGTCCTCTGCAGGCGGCACTTCTCTTTTTTTGTCTTGAGTCGATTGTGCTATGGGTGTAGATATTCAAGCAGAGCATCTCTTGCATTTGGCACGGTTTAACACACAGTTCGTTATTACTTATTGCCAAATGCATTGGAAAAATCACGATGCCTGGTGGAAAAGCCAGTGTGCAGGCTTCTTTCCACTAGGTGAGGAGTGAGGACTGATGCTCCGTCTCGTATTTATTAGGCAACCGTGCAGCACTGAAACAGACACATTAGCCTCGCCTGCCGACCTCCCTGCGGTGACTGTGACTACACCAGGTGACCGTGGTCGTCACCCCCCTCCGGCAGTACCTGAAGCACGAGCTGGCCGAGCTGGAGGCGGCGCTGGTGAGCTTCGCGCTGCGCCGGCTGCTCTCGGCCGGCTTCCAGCTGGTGTCGGTGCCCGATCTGCTCAACAGCTCCGTCCTGGAGGCGTGCGGTGTGTCCGTGCACGGTGACAGGACCATGGTGAGCGCCCTCTCCCCCCCCTACATGACAGTCTGTGCATGGGGTCAGGACCATGGTGAGCGCTCCCCCCTCCCCCGTCCAGATGACAGTTTACAGGGACAAGGCCATAGTGAGCGCCCTCTCCCCCTACATGACAGTGCACGGGGACGGGACCATGGTGAGCCCTTCCCCCACGACACCAAATGGCTGTCCTCCCCACACTGACCAAGCAGCTCCGTGCTACCTCGGTGTCTCTGTGCACTAGGACTATGCTCGAGCGTCGGCATCCGTCTGAACTCCGAACCAGTTGGCAGTTGGCACCATTACTGCTGCAGATTTTCAACCACCACGATCATCGATGTTAACGTTTTCCAGCGCCCCCTGTGATGTCTGACCGACCGCTGTCGCCAATGCCATCCCCTATGTCTGCACTCGTCCCGGCAGGCGTACTCTCTCGGCAAGTCACAGCACGGCGAGGTCTGTTCCCGATCCACTGACCCCTCTCCCCTCTCCCCTGACCGTCCCCCTCCCCGGTAGGTTATAGGTATGCTCTGTGGACGAGGCGCAGCACGGTGACGTTTGATCCCACCCCACTGACCCTCCCTCCCCTCTCCCCCGACAGGTATATTCTCTGGACGAGGCGCATCACGGCGACGTGTGCCTCTCGGGGACGGCCGAGATGGCACTGGGAGCTCTGGTGTCCGGCCGCCGGCTGCCTGCCGACCGGCTGCCGCTCCGGCTAGCCGCCGTCTCGCGCTGTTTCCGACCAGAGGTCTCCAACCTGGAGAGCGAGGCGGGCATCTACAGGTAACTGCGCGGGCCCGAGGTCAGAGGTCTCCAACCTGGAGAGCGAGGCGGGCATCTACAGGTAACGGCGAGCGCACTGTGGAGCGGGGGCTTCCCTGCTCGATCGGTGTTTGCCCGGATTTTTTTCTCACGATTTTTTTTTTTTTTAGGGGAGAGTGGGGCACATTCGTGCAAAAAATGGATAAACCCATATATCTGTTCTTTGGTTAGTGCAATGGCAAAATTGTTGATTGTAGTATGGAAAGGAACTATTGCAGATAGTTTTCCTCTTTAAAAGTTATCCTCTAAAATTATTGCTTCCATTAGAAAAAATGACTTTTAATAACTCTGAACATTTGCACGAAACTGCCCCACCTATGGGGCACATTCGTTCAAGAGGTGGGGCACTTCCGTTCACCCTGCAAAGTTCGAGAAATTACCGGGCATTACCAGAAATTTACCAAAGGAAATTGGCAGGGGGTCATTTCACTTGATTCCTTTCGACAAGAATGCATCGCACAACATATGTAGAAAGAATGGGCTGGCCAACAAGAATGTGCCAACTGCCGGCCTCCGTGACCTCGCCAAGTTCGCGTGAATTGCTCGTCACGACGTCGCAAGCAGTCGAGACTGAGTCAGGCGAACGTCATTAGAGAAACCTACTACAGATAAGGTCATAAATCGCAAAAACTAAAAAAATATGCACGAATGTGCCCCCAGGCAGTGCGTACACGAACCTGCCCCACAACGTTATTAGTAATATATTTCAAAATTTCTTTTTGAAAAAAATGACACTTTTTCAACAAACAAGTTTGCAGCAGTTCCGTGAATAGAGTGAGCTTTTTCACCCCCAATTTTGAAAAGCTGAACCACATTTCCGAGTCAGGATCACGAAAATGGATGATATGAGAAAAGTTTGGAAAGCTCACGAATGTTACAAATTTGCGTTTTTATCAAGCATGACAGCAGGCACAGTGTTGTCTTCTACGGTGAACGAAGGGTGGCAATGATAGACACATTTCCATAATTTACCTTGAGCTCGTGCAGTCACTCGTGTTCCCATAAACTGCTGAAAACGAATGTGCCCCATGCACGAATGTGCCCCACTCTCCCCTACATCAGAAAAGGTGTGACGCCTACGGCTTACGTATGATTTACCATTTTTGCTGATAATTGTATGCCAATATTTAGCTTACTTCTCAGTGTTGCATAAAGGCGGCCGTCCACTGGGTTGAGTACGCGCTGAATTTAACATTGGAGTCTATGAGCTGCGCGCCGAATGCGCGATGAATCGCATTCAGCTGATTATTTGGCGGCTGTTGGGCGTCGAATCATGCGCTGACGACTCAAGATTACTTTAGTTCTCCTTAAGTAATCTTGAGTCTTTTGCCTTAAAATGCTTTAACTTTTCAGCACACACTAGGCACTGGACGAATACACGCAAAATGCGCATCTAACCAGTGGACGGCGGCCTTGACAACAAACAAACGCAAGCTAATTTTTCAACCTTTTACTCTAACCGGTTTCGCGCATCAGGATACGAATTACCATTCGCTGTTCAATGTTGATCGCAGCGCAGTGACGCTGGGCGACTCGCCACTACCAGGCGCCCGTGCAGTGGCGGATCCAGCTCAGAGTTTTTTTTTTTGGGGGGGGGGCAAACCATAACAATTTATCGATTCTTTCCATGCCTCGTCCATAGGCGTAATGTTAAAATTATGCCGTTTGGGAGGGGCAAATGCCCATTTTGCCCCCCCCCCCCCTGGATCCGCCACTGCGCCCGTGTACCAGTCTCTGACCGGCGTCCGTATCTGTGTGCCCCAGGGTCCACCAGTTCACTAAGGTGGAGATGTTCGGCGTGTGTGCGGCAGATACGGCCGTGTCCGGCGCCCTCCTCGACGAGTTTGTCGCCATCCAGGAGAGTATCTTCACTGACCTCGGACTGCACTTTATCGTCTACGATATGCCGCCGCACGAACTGGGTTAGTGGTCTCACAGCAGTAATAATTCGATCAATGCAGTTGCAGTTTATAGTTTGTTACTGTTGCAGACCTTGTAGTTTGTTGCTTTTGATTGAATGTGGTGAGTGTTGTTAGATGCCGGATAACAGTCATTGTGGAACCCTTTAGAAGGCCAGAAAGTGCTACGTCTGATGTCTTCGTGGTAATTCACGGTAAAGAATTGGCTCCGACGTTGGATTTCACCGTCCCCGTCTAGCTCCCCTTTGTAACCGACCCCTCCCCCGTCCTCAGGCGCGCCGGCCTACCGCAAGTACGACATCGAGGCGTGGATGCCGGGCCGGCGGATGTACGGCGAGGTGAGCAGTGCCAGCGACTGCACAGACTACCAGAGCCGGCGGCTGGCGGTGCGCGACTGCGCCGGCCGCCGGCTGCACACAGTGAACGGCACGGCCTGCGCGGCGCCGCGCACCCTGCTCGCCCTGGTCGAGACCGGACAGCAGCGCGACGGCACGGTGGCCGTGCCGCCGGCCCTGCGGCCGCTCCTCGGCGGGAGAGAGGTGCTGCGACCGCGCGCCGGCCGCGCTCAGTGGCTCAAGGGCCACCAGCTGCGACTGGCCGCCGACTGACAGGTCATATCACCGGCTGCGTCTGGTCAGCCACCAGCCGCTGAGTGACGGATCAGCTCACCGGCCTTTGACAGGTCAGGTCACTAACTGCGGCTGGCTGCCGAGTGACGGGTCAGGTCACCGGCCGCGCTCAGTGGCTCAAAGGCCACCAGCTGCGACTGGCCGCCGACTGACGCGTCAGCTCTGACCGGCCGCGCACGGCTCAGTCGCTACCAGGTCACTGGCTGCCCAGTGACGGGTGACGGGTCAGGTCACCGGCCGCGCTCAGTGGCTCAAAGGCCACCAGCTGCGACTGGCCGCTGACTAATGGGCCAGGTCACCGTCGGATCAAGTCACCGGCCGCGCCCTTTGGCTCAAGGACCGCCAGTTGCAGCCGGCTGTCGAGCGGGATGCGGGACGGCGCTGGGCAGGGACGGATGAGTGTCTCTAGTTGGCTTGTAATGTTATGCAATATGATGAGATGCAATAGTGATGTTAGTGATGTATTTATAGTCACCGTGAGTGATGTAACTGTGATCCTGGCGTGTCTTTATGTCAGTTTCTGGCCGTACAGCTTGTTGATTCGTTACCTCGTTATCACGGTATATAAATTGTATACGGTATGCTATTGTGGTTTTTGGACTGTCCCGATATACGTATTTCCTATCAATTTCTCGGAAGCCTTCCGGCTGCTCGTGCATCATTGATATAACGTGCATCATTGATATAACGTGCATCATTGATACAACGCCTTACGAAGTAAACGCCAATGTGCGATTGGCTGCGATCGCCTGACATGCAACACGCCACACGTATACCAAAGGATGGATGAAACACTGATATCTTGTCATTGTGTATATTTTTCACTTAGCAGCGACGTGGGAACAACTCTAAAAATATTGACCCAGTAGTGTGCAAAGGGTACGTCGCACCCAGGCCACGCACGGCACCACTGACGCTACCACGCATGATATTCACGGCAATCACCGCCGGCACCAGACATATATCGTATTAAATAAAAGCGTCATCTGACAAAATATCCATCATTCGCCGTATAGCTGAATAATATAGATATATTTGGTTCGACCATATTAACATAGCTGGACGAGTGCCCAAGCAGTAAACAAACGGCGACTGGCGACACGCGGCGAGAGCTCCCGGCGCGAGCCGCGAGCGGCCAACCCTCGGCCGGCCTAGGTGCACCCCGAGGCTGGCTCACCGTCACTGGGCAGCGGCAGTCGACTGCCCACAGCGACCCCACTGAGTCCCACCGGCTGACTGGCCACCGCCACCCGCCCAGGAAGCATCCCGACACGACAACGTCGAATAAACACTCCGAAATGCGCCCACAACAGCCCACTGTCCTCTCCAGTACACACACACACACATACACCAGCGACACGCAGTTCCCGGCCGCCACTCCGCCCCGCCTGTCTGGAATGGACCGACGCGTCCCACCTCGCGTCGGTCGCTGTCTGGCGGCGCGGCCCGGCCGACCGGGCCTCCTCAGATGGCGCGGCGGCCCGGTCAGTCATTGTCGGGCCGCATGTGGTCGAGCTGCAGCTCCAGCGAGGTGCGCTCCTCCACCGTCTCTGCCAGCTCCTGATTCAGCTCGGCCGTGACGGCCGCCAGCGTGGCGGTTCGCTCCCGCTGGGCGCGCAACACCAGCAGCAGAGACTCGCGGCTCCACGAGCTGCGGGGGGGGGGGAGGGATCAGAGGAATACACAGGACGTTCAGTGAGCCTACCGAGGGGTCTGTGCCTGTGGCGACAAGACATCCTGGGACCCGAAACACGGCGGTAACGTGTCAGCAAATAACGGCAGACTGTCAACATAAGCAACCATCAAACCTGAGCAAGAGAACACATCAGCGTGTCAGCACGATAATCTAGAGCATCTAGCGCGGCAAGACATGCTCAACCGAAAGTTTGCCCATCAGTCATCATATCCGACCGGTCTGTACACAGATCCACTATAACTAAGGGGAGCCATCAGCCGGTCGCAGCGGCGCCACCGACACAGTGCTCAGTGCTCACCTAACGGCCATCAGCTCCTGCGGCGTCATTTTGGCGAGTCGGCCCGGGCTGATGACGGGCGACTCGAGGTGCGGGTGCGGCGCCGGCCGCGAGGGGCGTGGCTCGGTGGCCGAGGGCGCGTGGTCGCTGCCGGAGCCGTGTCGACTACCGGCCGGACTGGCGCCACCCGTCGCCCCCGCCGCCGCCGCTGCTGCTGCTGCTGCTAACGGAGACAGGGAGCGGCACATTCAGAATCGGGAGGCGTTACAGGGGACTGGACAGTGGACACGTTACGGGAGGCACTTCACAGTCCACGGCACTGGAGGATAAGTGAGCGGCATGAGCGGGGTGAGACGCGCCACGGATGAGTGTCCAACACAATTATAAAACACGGGCGAGGATGAGCGCGTCAAAGCTACCGCCCACCACACCCTGGATGTGATTCGGCACTGCTGCGGACTGCGGTTCGATCATCGACCGGAGCGTGGCTTTCAGTCATCCAAGACCCAGCGGAACTGTCCCGTAATCATTTCACAACACCTCGATGGACATAAATATTCGACCGTCGAATTAATAAGAACGATTCCGGAAGAGCAAATACGGGAGGTTGGCTACAAAAAAAAACTCATTCATTTAGCATTAAGTCAGGCTGCTTTGTTATAATTGCTATTGCAAAAGCAGGCTGTTCTATGCCTTCCATTTTATGGAGTCCTGGATCAACACCTCCCGCCCACGCGCACGGACCTGGCTTTTTGTAGACCTCGAAGGCGCCCTGTCTGACGCGGCTGATGTCGGGCGCTGACGGTTCCTCGAACTGACTAAAGTCGGCAAACCCTGCCGAAGGGTCGGCTGTCGCCGGCGCCGGCCTCTGGCTGCCCCGCGCCGCCGCCGCCGCCGCCGCCGCCTGCGGGACACACGATACGGGATATCGGGTCAGGTATCACAACGACCTACCATACTGCCCAACCATACATACACATACACATTGGGGGCTAGGTTACCCTTTCGCTGATCGCACGATACGATAGAAACAGTTCAGTGTTGTTTGCATGACATAACCTAGGACCATGTCATCCAAACCATGGCAAATCATTTTCCCAAGCGTTTGCGAGGCGGACTGCTGTGCTTGTGTCTTAGCAGCCGCTGATAGATGGCTCAACATAACCATACACATATGGTCGCTCCCACCGGCTAAGTTGCGACAATGGCGTGACGCCCAGCGGACCATCTCACCACCCCCGGTGCCCCACCACTCACGTCAGCCGGTGAGCTACGCGGCGGCACCACGGGCGGCACGCAGCTCAGGTCCAGGGAGCTGCTGCGCGCGTGGCCGGTGTGGCCAGGCCGCGGCGGCGGCGGCGGCGGCGCCGGCTGTGTCAGCCGACTGGGCAGTGTGGGCGCCGTCTGCGCCAGCACCGGCAGACTGGTGGGGCCTGAGGAGGCCGAGTCGCCCAGCGCGTGCGGACCCGAGCTGCCTGCCGATGGAAGATGGACAGCAGGGGTCAGTGAGGGTGACTGGGGTCGGGCCGTCGAGCTGGTGAAACGACATAGGGGTGAGCAGCGCACAAGTATCGCTTACTCATAATATAAACACGTAGCTGCATATAGTGATACAGATACATAAATAAACATGACGCAATTATAAACACCGCAGATGCGAAGCACCCCATTCGAAAAGCGTGTAGTTTTGCCCAAGTGTCCAATACAGCTGTTGGCTCGTTCCTGTACCATGAGTCCTCCCTCCCCCCTATGGACGGCCACGCCCGGTGCCGTGTCGGACTGCCATTGACCCAGCTGACCCCTCGCCGACCGGCAGACGGACACATACACACACACCGGGCGCCGCCCCCTCGCCGGCCGACCCACGCCATAACGGCCACCGCTCCGCCCGGGGTCCATCAAACGGCACCTTTAATAGGATAATCAATAACAGTGAGACCTGGGCCGGCCGGCCGCGGGCCTGTCTGCACCCCGACCGTCACTGCCCCGCTCGGCAGTCCCCGCTGCCCGCCCACCAGCCCCTCTGTGCCCCACTCACAGTGTCTGAGCGCCTTCCGCGCGGTGGGCCGCCCGGCGAGCGCGGCCGGCGGCGGCGGCGGCGGCGGCGGCGCCGGGGCGTCCACCTCGTCCGAGAGCTCGGAGTCGGAGTCGGCCGTCGGCCGGCCGGCCGGGTGCTCCTCTCGCGTGCCCTTCACCGCCACCGGGTGGAGGATCTGCGGGTTCTGAGGGCACGCGACGGGCGTCAGGGCGGCCAGAAACGCAGCACCAGCACGAGACCGAACACAGCAGCGAAAAGACAACACTGCCTGTGAGAAAAAACACACAATACCTGCTCGACAGCCGATTTGTGAAAGTCGAAGTTGACAGGCTTGATTCCCGGCGATGAGATGTTGCTCATCGGCGACTCCACAAACTTTGTCCACTGTGAAAAGGAACAGAACGGCGATGGGTCTCTGACCACGACAAAGTCTGCAAGAGTAAATACAACGGAGGCATTACGGAGAATATGCACTATGAGAGAGACAGAAAGGCTGCAGATAATGCGCTCTCACCTCCTTCCCCTTGGGTGACGTGAGCTGACCGGGAGCGGCGGTGGCGACTGGCGGAGGAGGAGCAGCGGCGGGGGCGGGGGCGGCAGGTGCGGGGGCAGGCGCGGTGGCGGGGGCGGGGGCGGTGGTGACGGGCGCGGGCGGAGGCGCCTCGGCTGTCCGCGGGACCGCCGACACCACCGCAGCAGCCGATATCTGGCAGATAACCACCGAGTCAGTACAACAGCGGATATACGTTGGGAGCAAATATGCGGCAACAATGCACACACATCATCGGATGTTGGTAGTTGCCGGCTTGTGTATTCTTTTGTGAGCAGTGAATGACGATGCTTCATGCAATACAGTACCATAGCAAAACATGGTTCGAGACAAAGCATGGTATCATCATTGAGCAGAATGAAATCACAACATCCCACCATCATCAAGTGTTTCCTTAACACAAGAAAATACTCGTGAGGCGCCCGTGTCTATCCCCAACACCGCCCACAGGTGAGCGGGGAGCCTGTTACGGACCTTTGGCACCAGCTGGGGCGGCAGCTGGTCGGGCACCTCGATCCGGTTCCGTCGCAGCACCACCAGGTGCATGGCGGTGACGAACTCCTCCAGACACAGGCAGCCGTCCCGGGTGACGTCCGACAGGTTCCTGGGCAGCAGAGGAGCGGCGGTAAAGGACGGTCAGTGAGGCCAGCAGCGGCAAGGGACAGCTGCTGCAGCCAAGTGGCCTCACACAACCACGCCAGTGAGCAATCTACTTTTATCGGTAAAGAAAGTGACCAAATTGCCAGACTTTGGTGTCTTTGCGTCGCACAGCTAACCAGCCAGCCCAGACAGTCGCTGGCTATCGCTGAACCCCACCCACCCACCATGCCCTACTAGATACCATGCTCCCCACGCACCATATTTTGCTGAGCGCCGTGACGGGCAGCTTGCTCTTCTCGAAGAAGGCCTTGGCGGTGTGTCCGGGCAGCAGGGCGGTGGTGTCGGGCTGCAGTGTGACAAACTGCTGCACGTAGTACTGGCGCTGCTCGGCCGTCACCGTCCACACGTCCACCTCGTCCTCCTCGTCCTCGGACGAGTGCCGGTCGGACGACTCGCCCTCCGTGGCCAGCAGCTGGCGGTGCTCGTCAGAGTCTGAGGAGTCAGAGAAGGAGGAGAGGAGGTTACGTCAGAGTCTGAGGAGTCAGAGAAGGAGGGAGGTTACGTCAGAGTCTGAGGAGTCAGAGAAGGGGGTAGGTTACGTCAGAATCTGAGGAGTCAGAGTACCTCAGAGTCTGACCCGAAGACGAGGGGCCAGCAGCTGACGGTGCTCGTCAGAGTCTGACCGATTGAGGGGAATGCCCGTTAGAGTCTTACCGGAGGTGAGGGGGGGGGGACGTCAGCTGATGGTGCTCGTCACTTGAACCAGCGACGGACAGGGGGGTCAGCGGTGCAAGGGTTGTAACGGCAACTGACATCACACCAGTTACTAGACGTTATAATCACCATTTATGAAAGACGATATTCACGATATCACAAATGTTCTAAAGGTCGGGTGGCAAGAATCAGTATCTATGTGCCCACTCAAAAGAGCCGTTTCAATTTTTTTCATTACGGGCCAATAGAGGCCAGAACAAACTGACGAAAACCTTTTTCAACCCAGCATTAGGTACCAAGCGTGCATCTCGTGCCAGAAACGCTCTTTGGGCCCGGATGGCCGGGAAATGAGCACTGCGCCCTCCCCTGCCCCGGCAGGTCGCCGCCCCACTCACGGGCGGTCCTCCAGTGCACGTGTCCCTGTCGGGACGGCTTGGGCGAGTCGCTGGCCGGGGAAGAGGCCGAGGGCGAGTCGCCCGAGAGCCGCGGCTCGTCCGTGTCCGCCGTGGCGTCCCCATTGGTGGCGTCCAGACTCTGCGGAAACGGGGAATACTAGTCAGGTACGGGTGAGGGGGCGGCCCCGTTGTTCGCGTCCAGACTCGGCAGCGGACGGAGAAGGGGACGATCCATCTGTTTGTGCTCCGCTAATTCGTCGCCCTAGCGCGAGAGACCCCGCTGTCAATTGCGGCCCAAGAGTTAAGCCAGTGCCCTGGGGCAGCAGATTGCGGTGTCTGGACATCCACAGTTCCTTACAATTCTCCAACCATGCTGATGTAAAATATTTTGTGTGGACGAGAATGCCTTGGAAAAAAGCATTGCAGCTCTCCATCGACACAGTGGCGGGGGTTGTCTTGTGACTTGTGCTCTATATCAGCTCCTAGCACCTACTTGAACAAATAGGATAGGAATGAGCATTTGAGCAAATGACAGCTACACATGTGCTGTGCTGCTTACCTTGTACTGAATTTCAGCATCTGTATCTGTGTCATTTAGGTTAATCAAGTCTGGCGACTTGATCAGATTCATGTCTTTGTCCATCTGAAAAGGCAAGGCAAGTTAAATGACCATGAAATACAGCCTTTATAGAGTTAAAGTTGACGAAGTACATTGCTGGCAAACAACTGCAAAACAGTGCTTGCAGTCATTACCAGGTTTGACTTCAATGCAATGTGATTGATGGTGAGTTGGTCTACTGAATTCAGCAGAAGGAGTAAAACCTTGTGCCCTTACTGAAAAATATAAATTAGGTACTGTGATAATATCACAATAACTTATTATTTATTATTTATCATTTTTCATATTTTTACAACTTCTTGGGAAAAAAACCTTCACTAGTTTGCCATTCTATATCATTTATAATGATCAGTCAGGCACGTAGCCAGATTCTTGCTCAGGGAGGGGCCACAGGTTGTGGCCTAGTGTTGTAGGTACCCCCTCCAAAAAAGGAAAACTCCTCCAATTTGGCCCACTATTTTTGGTTGTGTGTGTGGTGCTGCTGCTTTTAGTAATTACTTCTATTTCATTTTATTTTTCACCTTCAATGGGGGGGGGGGGGGGGCATGGTCCTGTGGCCCCACCTTGGCTGTGCCTGTGTCCCTGCTGATAAGTGGCAGATTTAAAATGGTGTGTACCTTTTTAAAGTGATCGGGATATGTAAGGCACTAAAGCCTTGAGGTCAAGCTCTCATCGAACTCATGTGTTCCGTTCTGACTCAACTCAGTCGGTGTCAGGCACCAGATACTGAAGCGGAGCCCAGTGGGCATCCAGACGGCTTTTGAATATGTTCAGCGAAGGAGAGTCTACAATCCAGCCGACAGTCCATTCCAGTCGTTAACCACACGAATGGCAAAAGCTGACCTCCTGACTGCTTGAAGCTGGGCTTTCCGTGAGATTACCAGTGGATGACATTTGCAGCACCTTAACTCATGATTTAAACTAACTGACACACCTTGACATGACTGAATATTAGAGAAATACAAAAATTTAAGCAATACGCTAAAATGAAATCAAAATGGGTGTAACATGATGACCTCAGGAATTTAGGTACATGATGCTGAAAAATTGTGTTGAATAAAATATCAATATCCACAGCTTGTTCTAAATACAAATTGTATGCACTGTAGTAATCCCAGGAAAACCAAACCCACGTTTTTCAGTTTGAATTGATATTGATGCAGAATTGAAATTCAACGCGGCTCTCTCTATCGTCTGGATAAAAATAGGCCCCGCCCATCCCAATCAGCTGCTGCATGACGAGTTGATGACGACAACCACTACTTACCAGCAACCAATCTAGGGATAGCGTACGTGACAGTAATGGTGCAGCGGTTGCAAAATATTGCATTGTTATTCAAACGGTTTTTGCTTTTTGATTGTGATTGTATTGAGATATGTGATTAGATGAGGTGTTGTTGAAGGCAGGTATTTTTTTAAATATTTTTTGACAATTTTTTGCCCCCTTGTGCTGAACCCGGGACCACCTGAAGTCTAAACCTCATTTTATATAACATGTCAATGCTGATGCTGTCCAGCTCAGAGTTTTTTTTTGGGGGGGGGGGGGGGGGGCAAACCAAAACAATTTATCGATTCTTTCCATGCATCGTCCATAGGCGTAATGTTAAAATTATGCCGTTTGGGGGGGGCAAATGCCTATTTTGCCCCCCCTGGATCCGCCACTGACTGCTCCGATCCTGGTCATGCAACCAACGTTCATGGGTGGTGTTTCACGGCAGAGCACTGCAGTGCGCTGCGTGTGTCAGAGCATTGGGTTGCCATGGCAGTGTCAACAAAGTTCACTGTGACGCTAAGCTATATGACAGCATCCCAGAACGCTAGCACGCTGCGGTACCAGCACCAGCAGCATGCTAGCAGTATTTGAACTCAAACCTCTGTTCTTGGTACGGTTTTTCAGAACATCTCACTCTGTTCCAAACGCGATTCATCATAAACTAAGAGATCACATGCAACGTCATTTGAGTGATGCTATGGTATGCCGTAGCTACCAGTGCACACAGTGTCTGGATGGTGAAACAGGGCCATTATTAATCACATTTGCTTTGCTTTGTTTCAGCAGAAACCTGTCTGCACATGGGAGGAGCGCAACAAAAGCCCATCAAGTTCATGCATGGCAGTGGATCTCAACAGCAGAAAACCAGAAAGAACATGGATGCTTGTAGATTGCAGTTGTACACTGCTGTTATCACGTGATGTGTGTGGCTGGCATTGCTCCTGGCAAGAACCACCTGCAAGTGATGAGATGGTGCCTCAGTCGTTGAGTGTGCTGCAGTGTGAGAGGCGCCCTGATCTCTACTTTGTGATGGGTTTCCATTGGAAGTTCAACTGAGAAGTGAGAAGTGACTGTGACCATGCTCGAGCATGCCAGTGGAGCTTTACATGCTTAGGGCAGCTTTTGAACAGATGCTGACCATGGCATGTCCCATCCAGTTATCACGTGCATAGAATGGTGGGGGGAGGGCAACTCTGGTTGAGTCAGCCCTACTGCGCTGGGGGTACAGATGGCCGCTTACGTTTGGTGTGTCCTGCACTGCATTATCAAGCCCAGTCTGCTGCCACAGGCAATGGATCGGGCTGCACTATATTAAAGGCAGACTATCTTGCAAAGGAGGCTGGCATCCTCTCCCATAATGACACACCAATTGGCAATCATCGCTGCGATGATCACGAGGGTGTCCGCTTATCTAACATGGTGAGGTGGAGAGCCAGCTCAAGCTGGCCTGAGGGATGGTTTTACTTCATCTGAGGCCCCCTTTCCCCGCCTGCCAGGTCCGGTCAAACGACCGCTTCACAGTGAACGACTTGCAGTGGATGCCGTCCCACAGCGCAACGAGCGCGCCGACCAGAGGCGGCGGCCAAGAGGCGGCCGCGCTCCCCCAGTCGACGGTCCCGGTGGACGTCGGCAACGCCCACCGCGCGACCATCAGATCGGCTCGCGACCGCGCCGTCGCCGACTGACCGCATGACTGGTATCTGTTCTTGATGTGGGACCGACTGCCACCGCCGGTCGCGGAAGGGCATCGCTCATCGGCCATCGACGTTCACCAGCTTCGCGTGGGTCACTGTTCGGGCTGCCACCAATACACCGAATCGGATGGAACCCTGTCGGCGAATGCCGGCGGTGCCCCGACATCGACTGCGCGGCGGCCAGTGCATCGCGTGCCGGGAGGAGGCTGGCACCCCCGATCGGTCATTGGTCACAAACCGTGTCCCAGCTCATGACTGCATCCAGCGCAGCTCTGTGCGATGTTCTGCTGCAGTCTGCCGCGTGTGTTGAAAGAAGAATGAACACGAGAAAACCTCAAAACTTTATGCCTATTAGTATTTGACCAGTATTGGAATAAGTTTGGATTTTGAGAATTTGTGTCCCTGTGCTTGTGCCTGTGTGAAAAGGCATGCTTTACGGTGTACCATCTCAATTTGTGCGGCTGCTGACAAGCCACCTGGGTGCCAACGTATGTGCGAATCCGCGAATACGTTGTGTTTCGTCAGTCGGTATCGTTCTGAAAATATTGACTGCAATAGGCTATATAGCGTATGACGGTTCAGCCCAGCAGTAATAACTGACCATTGATTGGGCGAATTTTGTGTGGTGGTTCGCTAATACATAACCTAAAGAGTGTTTGGCCGGAATTGTTTAGTAGCAGAACTGACCGGAATATAAGTAGAATGCAACGGTTTGAATCGTTAATTTGTTGAAACGATTGTTCTCTGAGACCACTGTGTAACTTTTGACCTGAGAATCACCAATTATAACGACAATGGTGGAAGCAGTAGGCACTGTAGAGTGTAGGCAGCACTATATAGTTGGCACACTTACGCAAGCACACGACTTACGCAGTGGACATCTGCATCATGCATGTTAAGGTTTACTGGGAAGAGTGAGAAATTAGTCAAGGCGATATTTCCAATTGAGCTGGGGCGGAGAGGGGGAGGGGACGTATGGTCAGCTATGCCAATAATTCATTCTCGTTATGCAGCTGTGTAAAAGGGCGTCGTTTTTTTCTTGGGTGAGACCTTCCCCATTGGCCATTTCCAAGCTAAATCGTGGTGGAGAGTCTGGAGACCTCAGCCTCGGTAGTCGGTACCCTGCGCGCTGCGCCACCTTGCGAAACATAAAGCAGCAGTCCTGACATCTACAGGCGTTACTTTTCATGAAAGCGTGGATGTGTTCGCGCTTATGCGAAGAAAATTCTTCCGAGTATGGTTGATAATGAGATTAATTGTTGTCATTTATTTATTAATTCATTGGCAAAAGTACCCTAATAAATCGGTAAAGTAGCTTAAACTGTATCGTATTTCCTTGAGAAAAAATGACGAACTCATCCTAAGACATCCAGATTATTGGATGCGTTCGTCAGTTGTAAGTAGTTCAAGTTTTTGGAAAAAGTTGCTTGTGGAAAATCATAATATTTCAAAGATATGCCTATTTTCGAATAGTTTATGCATTTATCTGCATTGAAAAATGATTGTAAAGCAAAAGTGCAAACGATTGTTGTCAATTTATTCTCTCAAATCACTATTTACGAACGCACAAAACTCCAGCTTTTAATTTAGTGCGTGTGCGAATTGCGGTCAGGAAAAAAGATTTAAACTGTCTATATTCCTCTTAAAACAATGAAGGATGAATGAGAAAAACGCTGTTTTGAACAATTGTATGTTTATTTTTTCTCAATTAAGCAAAAAACCAAAATTTTCAACTATTATTACATTTGCTCTCACAAAACCCATCACTTTTAAGCATGACGTCATGTCAGCCAAACTTACTAGCGCCATCTCTGGAGAGCATCTTTCGAAACCTCCAGACGATAGAGAGAGCCTTCAACGCCGCCCCCACACACACACACACTATTATCGCAAACCGCAAAGCAAGCCACATTTGTCATGTTTTGTTTCATATTGATATAAACGAAAACTTTTTCTGTTATTGTTCTAATGACGTCATTGAAAGAACGAAAGAAAGAAAAGGAAACAATATTCACACAACACTGCACAAGTTACACAAATTCTATGAAGATAGAAATTGACCTACAATTCTTTGAAGGCTGAATATGGGACCATTTGATTTTCTACCTTCTTCATCAACCTTCTTTCTTTACGAGCTGATGACGTAATATTAAGCACTGCTGTTTCGAATGCATCTTCTATAGTGACCTTGACCTCGCACCATTGCATTGTTTAGACCCATTTTGACGGGCTCTGGTATTAACTGGATAATTCGCCAGCTGACGCCGTATGGTGGCGCTAGTGGAGCAGCACCATATGACGTCCGCACAAAACACCGTGAGCAGCTATGAAATGGGAGCGAGCACCACGGAAATATCGAAAGGTGATGGACATGTACTGACTTTGGTCATTCGAGTACCACCAACACCATACAAAAACCATATAATATCATCAAGACTGATTCTGGAATCGATTTGTCCGGGTATTTAAAACACACAAAAAATGTTTGTTACCGAATTCTGAAACAGTATAAGGATATTCTTGTTCCTTACTTTTACCTTGTGGAGTACTTTTACTTGCTTTCTAGTGCGCCCATCACTATCTTGAAATCTGGATTGCAACGCTGTAGGAAAACTTTTTTTCATTTGTCATTTCTTCCACTTTTGAGCAGTGATAATTTATTTGGTTTTATACATTAAATAATGAAGACGGCTCCTAACTTTTTAGGGATCTGCAGTGGCCCAGAGAGCAAAATCAGATATTTTCTAAAAACTTGAGGCCACTATTTCCTTAAATGCTAGAAAATATACAAATATTGACATTAAAAGAATGATACGGGTATATAATTCTGCAGAAATATAAATTCAAAGTATTTAAATTATTCAAGAACCTTTTTAAAATCTTCCATAATGACTTCTTTCAATACAAGCTGGATGCAATTTCAATCAATAAAGCAGCACAAGGCAGTACATTGAGCTACGATGATCCATAACCAATCGGCACCTGCAATTTGATTGATCTTCGAGATGTACCCTGCCCCTGTTCCCTGACTTTCCCTTTTCGTTGTACCGGGTGAAGTGAATATTCTGTGAATATTCTTCTGACAGTCAGTTTTTAGTCCTACATTATGTTGTCAATCAGATTTAATTGGTTCAAAAACCGTCGTAGTCCGTCTCATTCGCAGTCTACATCTCCACATGCGCACCCATACATGCCCAAAATTTTCACTACGTATGTACTATGTACCCTGCAGCGTATCCTGATGAAAAATGTTTTGTTGAAATCATAGACACTTCCCAAGGTAGGCCATAGTCCATGGCCATATATTTAAGTCAAAACAGATAAAACAGATAAACACAATTCCAATCATCAAGTCAACCAGCATCGACAATCTGCACATAAGTTCTAAACCTATTGTAAGACTACTTTGTATTCAAACTTTGTATTGCAGAAGGGTGGAAGCTGCATGGAATTATGCGACAATTTTAGCGTGCATCCACGCTCGAAAGAGCAGGGTTAATTGTAACAATGTCAATACCATAACAATAACGTAATTGTAGGTGTTGTGATTCGGTTGTTTCTTGTCTGTGCTGGCCATTGCGCGGGCGGTCCAGCGGCGGAACTCGGCTTCGCCGCCGTGGCGCGCTGGCAGTTGCTTCTTCTTCTTCTTCTGCATCCCATCGCCAACCCGCTCAGGGGGGCGGCGGCGCAGGCGGGTCGAGCGGCGGCTCGGTCCGCCCAACATCCTCGATGAAGGTGACGACCTTCGTCGCCGGGCCGCCGAGGACGTCGACCAGGCGAGGGTCGGCACCCGAGCGGCGGCGGCGGGCCGCCTCATAGGCCGGACAATCGGTCAGTAGGTGCGCCGCGCTGTCGGGCTCCCCGCACGCGGGGCATTCGTCGTCGGCTTCCGGGCCAATCTTGTGGAGCGTGTCACGGGTCAGCGGTGATGTGCCGGTCCTCAGCTGGGACAGCGTCACCGACCCCAGCGCGCCAGGGAGTCGTGGCCAGGCGTGGGGTCCGGGTGCGGGTGGGCAGCGGTTGCCCTCTGTCGCGACAGCTCCCGGACATGGCGCGTGACGGCGGCTCGCGCACTCGACAGGTCGATCGGTGCGCTGTCTTGGTCGCCCGCCGTGGCCTCGCCAGCCAGGCGGTCGGCGGTTTCGTTGCCGTCCAGCCCGGCATGGCCTGGCACCCACTGGAGCACCGTCTCGGTGCCGTTCTCGGCGAGGGTGCTCAGCACTCAGCAGCCTCCACACCTCGGCGGCCAGGGCCATGGTCTGGTTAGCTGGGCCGCGGCCGAGTAGTTGGAGCCCAGACCTTGAGTCGGTGAGGAGGCGGACCGACTTGGTCGATGCCAACTCCCCGTCCTCCAGGCCGGCCACAGCCGCGAACGCCTCGCGCATGGCGGTCAGTTCTGCTCTTAGGCTGGAGCAGACCGCCCCTGCAGGAGCGCGCACGGTCTCTTCTCTGTTGAGGTGGTGGAACTGGATCAGCGCCTGCGCCGCCCTGTTCCGTCCGCCGCGAGCCGAGCCGTCCGACCAGATAGTGACGTCCGGGTGCGGGAGCTCTGCAATGGCTCGCAGGGCAGCTTCCCTGCGGACTGCAGGCGGGTCCGACCGGCGGGTGGCCACGGGCAGGTCCACCCTGAAGGTGATGCCGCCGCGGTGGCCCAGCCATGGCGGGTCGCAGCTGTAGAACGCCGAACCTGTAACACAATAGAATTGCAATTGTAACAAAGACCTGCATGGTCAGCACACATCTGCAGTGACTGTCATCCCAAGTTGGTATGAATTGGCACAAAGTTGGGTCATGGTAGCAGACGTAGCACAAGCTGTTGTGATATGCCATACCGTAGGACTAGGTCGTAGGTTGTAAATTTTAGGTTTAAGGCTGTAGGTTGTAGGTCAGGTTAGGTAAGGTTTGGTTAGAAAGACCCATTCTCGTGCATCGGGCAGCTTGTGCTACATCTACCTGACCAATACCCAATTTGGATTCCCAAAATTGATGGCAAACAGGCTTTTTGTATAACAAGTGTGGTTAATTGTTCTAATCCCCGCTGCAATGTGAGGGTAACTGCTTTTCTACAATCACAAAATTTGAATTCATATAGGTAGGTGTTTACATGTTCAGAAAATGATACAAAATATGACACAATTAATTATAGCTGCAACTGGATAGTGGATACCAACCTCAACTGAAAGTTTCTGCAGCCTTATAACCTAACAAATGACTAAATTGCCAAAATAAATCCCTTAGTACAATAGCTTGACTCTAAAATAACAGAAATTTTGCATGCAGACCCTGAAATGGAGGGTTTATGAAAAGTAACAAAAATAAACATTCACTAATATCAATTTTTTTTTTTATGTTGTTATAAATTTCATATGTAGCATAAGCGCCAATACTGCCTTCATTTACAATGTTGCTACTGTTTTCCACTCACAAACGCTGCCCTCCGTGGACAGCAGCAGCAGCAGTGAAACGTCACCCGTGGTGTGACATCATCACCCATGACGTAATGGAAATCCAGTTGTTACCAAGGCCCATTTTGACCCGCGGGCGGTTCGAAACGGGAGCATTGAAGATACAGAGGAATTAACACACCACGCGGGTTTTCATTTGAATTCATTTATTTGGATTTCGGCGGATCTCCAGGTGATCGAGAATCGCCAATGGCCACCGATATGTACCCAGCTGGGTCTCTCAACCCCTTGGAGAGTGAAGGCAGTGAAAATAATTTTGTCACGAACCCATCAAGACCAATACATGCTACTCCAGAAGCAAATAAATCCGTGGAAGCGTCCTCAAATAAGGCTGGACGCGCTAAGCGCAAAAATAAACAATCCCAACCTTCCCTGGATGAGTTGGGCACGCCTTCGGCAGATGAAAGGAGCCATAATGCCTCTGGGCGCAAGAAAAGTTCTACCAAGAAAAGAGGCCAAGCTCTCTTTCCGTCTGCAACAAGAGAAACATATCCTGAGGATGCTGCTACCGCTAAGCGTGCTGCTTATGCTGACGATTTTGAGGGCGGGGCAGATCGAGATCTTCGGCCTTCACCAGCTCTGCCCTCGCCCGCTGATAGCGGCCTGCAGGTACCCCATAAAACACCGGCCAAACACGCTGGAGAGGTCCAGAAGACGGCTCCTATAGCTTCTGACAAGAAGTCCGGTCCCAAGCGGCGCCGCCTTTACTCGCAGCCAGTGGGCGTGATCGAGCCGGCCAGTTCTATGAGCGGCTCGCAGAGCGGCGATCATCCCCCAGCACTGCCCTTCCGCGGACGGACGGCACCGGACGCGTCCAGCCGCGCCAACGAGTCCGTCTACGACCACCTGATCGAGCACAGCGCCCGCAGAGCGACCTTCAGCGGGCGCGCCGGCATCGGCGCCGCCAAGGTGCCCTGCGGCCGTAAGTCGGCGCCCGCGCGGGCGCGGAGCATCGCCGGCGCGCCGTCCGTCTCCGACCCCGCGCCGGCGGCCAGCCGTCCCCCGCGGCGCCAGGCCGCTGCCGCCGCCGTCGGACGGCTGCGGGACGCCCCCAGTGAAGACGAGACCGGTCCGGGCGTGGCGGAGCACCAGTCGCCGGAGGAGAACCGCCAGTCACACGGCGGCGGCTCCCAGTCTGCGGAGCGCTTTCCTGAACGGGAGGGAGACAGCCCTGCCGACCCCTCGGCGTCGGGAGGCAGCCCCGTACCGTCTCCGGACGCTGCTGTGCCGGCCACAGAGGCCAGTCCGCCGGACGACGACTCGGAGCAGGAGCTGGAGCGCGGCGGCGGCGAGGTATTCTTCCTGCCGACGGTGGTGCGCTCAGACGACGAGAGCGACGACGAGCTCGCCGAGGAAAGCGCCGGACCGCCGGTGGGGCGGGCGGGCCCGACAGACGGCGCGTGCACCTCGGACAGCCCGGCGCCCGACTGTGCAGAGGTCAGCCGCGGTCAGAGGTTCGGCGCCGCGGGTCCGTCGGGAGCGCCCGGAGCCGCCCAGCGGAGGGCGCGGCGCCAGAGCCCGCCGGTGGAACCAGACGAAGGTAACTCCAGCGAGGGCAGGGGTGAAAAATTGTATCGTTTTGTCGTTGTCGACGACAACCGAGAAGACGATCTTATGGCGACCACGCGTGACGCGCAGCGCCTGAACTGATTAAGACCTCCCGCTTAGTGCGGTTAGAAGCGCGCAATCCATTCGTCTTTGCCCACCCAACCCAATCGCCTCTGCCCACGCAAATCATTCTCTGCCCCTCACCCAGCAAATCGACTCGCAGTTCCAGGCTCCGCTACCCCGCTACAAGGCGGCATCCCAGTGGAAAATTTCCTGGGAGCTACAGACATATCCCAACCCCCCGTAGCTATTTAGTATATACTGCGTCGTTCGACCATCGCACGGTAGGCGATCGGGCCGGTCTAGCCTCGCGAAACCTCAAAGACACTTTTTTCCGAAAATTGGAAAACAACGCATACTAGTCGACAGAAAATTCATCAAAGATTACGATTAGTGCATTTGCATGGCTCAGGAGACATTTTTTCGTTGACAAAAGTATCGTTAAAGGCAGCGTTCCGTAACACTTTATAAGGGGGATAATCACAGCCGATTTTTACGCTCTTTGAATATTTTGCGGAACGATGAAATTGCTAGGTGTTGAGCATCCATTTTGCCTGGAAAGTGAAATTTAGATGTTTAGACGATTCGGCCATAGAAAGCAAGTAGACAAAATCAGTTCAAAATGTCTTATAATTAGGTTAACTTTTTATATTTTTTTTCTACCACTGAACATTACGTTCACTGAATTAACCAAGCCCAGCAAAAAAAGTTTTACGAGGATGAACTGAAAATAATGCTGTATCGCATGCACTAAGACACTATCTATTAGGGGAGCCAGTGAAAATTTGCAGCCACTTGCAGCCCTGGCATCCAGACACTTTTTTCTTCTAAGGGTTGACCGTGGCTTGGTGCACTTGAGCACAAGTGGTAAATGCCCCAAAGGGTGTTTTTGCGATAGCTCAAAACACCCAGGCAATAGAGAGCTGCAACCTGGCATACCTGACCTTTGATGCACGCTGGATCTTGTGACACCAATCGCACTTTCAAGTCAGGTCAGATCACTGACCTATGACGTCATACATGAACCTCTGCACGATCCTCAGATGTCGCAACCTTGCAACGCTCTCAGTGCCAGAGTAACCTTCACAGGGAGTTGAGATTTGCAGGACGTATTGTCCTTCAGAGGTCTTACAACTTGTATATCTCAGATTTTTCCTAAATGTCACATAAAGTCAGGTTGGTCACGTGAACTCAACTATAAGTCAATGGGGAAATATGAAAACTGTTATTTTGGCGCCAGGAATGATATTCAATTGTCTCAAGTACATGGACTCGTTACTTCATGCACTCCTTGCAAGATCTGATGCTGCATTTTTGCATTGTTGACCTTGCATGACGTCATTTATGACGTCACTAGGGTCATACGAGTTTTTCGTCAATAACTCCCGATCAAATTGAGCTAGAGAGTCGACAAGGTCACCAATGGACTCCGGAAGACCTGCCGAATCGAATGATATGCGATATGACCTCCTTCGACCAACTTCGTGATTTGAAGACCTCTGACCTGACCTTGACTCGAGGTCAAGGTCAGGTGGACCTTACGGTGGCCTCACCTGAACAAAAGTATACCATTCGACGCGCCTGAGCAAGGCGAACACGACGATGTCAAAATCGTGGTTCTGCGGCCATTTTTTGCGAAGTTATTTGCCAAAAACCAAACCCGCTGCTTGGGTCACATTATGAAATGGGGCCTTCCCGGGCGAGATTTACGCTGTTTCATGATATGTATAAATTGGTAGGGCATAATCGTTTGAATAAAAAATTGGTTTGGAAGCAATTTTCTACGGAGGTACACACTATTTCAATGTCCTACCCAGCTCATACCGTCATAAATTTCGACCTACCCTCAAAAGTATTCATGCGTTATTCGAGCAGCAATTAGGCAAATTGCAAGCTCGCCACAGAGCACAAATCCTATAAGAGATAGTCCTTATTTAAAACATATGCTCATTGGATATTCAAGAAGGTTGCTCCTAAATATTGTGGTTCTAGCTTCAAAAACATGGATGTTATGAATGCCGATAGGTTTCGCGAGGCTACACCGGCCGGATCGCCCACTGTGCATCGTTCGGACGGCCGACTGGCGACCCTCATAAAGGCGACCAATGGCATACCAAGTGGTCGCCGTGGTTGTCCACTGGCAACACGTGTCTGGCAAATCTAGTACCTTCCAGCGGGCCCCTGCCCGCACCCTTCAGCGCCGCCCCCGGCCGGCGGTCAGTTAGCGTCCCCTCCAATCCGCCGGGGCTCCTTTTGTGACGTCAAACCCACCCCCGGCGGCCCCTGGGGGTATGTCCGCAGTGGGACCGCGCCAGTGCCGGTAATATTTTGATGCGGGGAGGGCACGCCATGTCATGTCCACGGGGATATGGTGTCTCGGGACATCCGAGGTCGAGGAATAAGGATCGTTGGACATTTGAGCCTGACGGCTGAGCGCCCTGCGCTATCAAGAAGGAAACGAATTGCTCCACAAACACACTTACACATTAGCGATATAACGTAACGTAATATCAAAGCAAAGGGATTTTTCCTGTGCAATTTGGCAAAAGCGCACAGGTTTTGCCCTCTAAGATAGGCACCAGGTTTTTCTAGTTAGGACTTTCCTGGTGGAACTCACAACACAACAACAGCACACATTACAACACTACCACATTTCAGCATCAAGATTCAGCAGCAAGAAATGTAAGTACTCAAAATCCCTCTCGGCACTGCCACTCTGGCACCCTTTCTGGCTTTCCCTTGCACTTGCTTCCACCGGACGTCACATGAGCCGGGCTAACGTAAACTTTGTTCTTAATATTGCCTTGGGCCGGAATAACATAGCCGGCATTAAAGTAAAGTAAAACGGAAGATCTGGCTAATTGCCAGCTAGTAACTTCCCCCTACCCCGACCAGGGCCTCGGCCTGTCGGGAGCAAAATTCAAAAAAAAAAAAAAAAAAGAATATATTCGCAGGCAGGGTCCGTGGCGTCTGCACGACTTAAGTGCATATACAACCGGTTGAGCACGTTTTGTTGAAAGGTGAGTGGAAGTCGACCAGTGGCACCGTTGAAGAGTCACGGAAAAGGCCAAAAGGGCTATCGAAACTTTTACGCGGCGCTGTAGCTCTATAATTGGTTCCCGAGTTGTGTGCCGGTATTTCGCAAAGGAAAATTGAAATGGGTAATATTTTTCCATTTATTGGCATCTGGTGACCTGACCTTTGCCTTGACCTAAACACGAATGACATTTTTCGTCCTTATTTTGGACGTTCTTTCGAATGCCGTTTACTGCCTGCCACTACTTGACCCAGGATCAGAGATAAAAGGGATAGAACTCTTAATTAAGTCGACAACCAAATAAGCCCGTTTTCCTTCGGACGACAACCACCGAAACACTTTTTTCAGCCCTGAGCGAGGGTTTCTGTGACGAGCCGGCGCCGCCGCGCGGGTCCGGCGGCCAGCGCCGCTCGGAGCCGGACCGTAAACGCTCCCGGAGCAGCTCCGGTCCCAGCTGGATGGGCAGCGAGAGGCGCGCCTCGGCCAGGCCCAAACACTACTCGCGCCCCCGGGCGCCGTCCCCCGACAGAAGTCTGCGGCGCTACTCGTACGTCTGGGGCACCAGGCCGCCGCCGAGACACGACCACACCACCGCTGGTACCAAGAGTCGCAGCCGCAGCCGCAGCGGCAGCCGCGACCGGGGCCGGGGCCGAGACAGCTCCGGGCCCCGGCTCAGCTACAGTCGGAGCGACAGGCCGGCCACGCGCGGCAGAGCGTCCTCGCAACGCACGGCGCGCCGGTTCTTCACCGTGGACCCGGAGACGGAGACCACGCCTGCCGAGAACCCCAGTCCGGACGGCACCAGTCCCAGCCCGGTGGTGACCAGCGCCAGTGACTCGGTGTCGCGACACGTGCTGGTAGTGGAGCCGGACCCGTGCTCGTACCGACACCGGCCCTGCGAGATCGGCCCCAACATCTCGTCCGAGTCGTCGTCGACGCGGCGGCAGCAGGCGCGCAGCCCGCCGTCGCCGCCGCGCGGCCGGGCGGGTCGACAGTCCGCCGCCTCCCGTCCGTGGAGCCGCCCCGCCGCGGGAGCCGACCGGAGTCGGCAGCGGACGCCGCCGGAGCCGGACCGGAGCCGCTCCCGTCGGCAGCTAGATGTGGAGCGCGCCGCCGCTCCGGAAGCGTATGGAGAATACGCGGACGATGGCGCGGACTGGGCGGAGCCGGAGCTAGAACCGGAGCCGGAGCCAATGGACACGACACCTCCGGCGGCCTCCCACAGAGGACACCCGGAGCAGGGCGTCTCTCCGCAGCCTTATCGCCCTGTGCAGAGCTCCGCCCTGCGGCCTGAGCACCCTGAGCAGAACGCCGCTCCGCAGTCCTACCATCCTGTGCAGAGCGCCGCCCGGCAGCCATACCACCGTGAGCAGAGCACTTCCCCGCAGTGCGGCCAGCCGCCGCGTCCTCAGCGGGAACGGTCCGATCTGCGACCGGTCCCGGTCAGATCCCAGGTCACACCGCCAGCACAGACCCCTGCACCTGTCACGGCCAACCCCGTGACGGTCCGGCCGGACCCTGCCACCCGCCCGCCCGTCCCCCAGCAGCCTCAGCCGGCGCCGCGGGCCGTTCCGTCCACACCACAGCACGGCGCGGGCACGGCTCCGCCCGGCCGTCAGAGCGCGCCCCACGAGCGGCGGCCCGCAGCGCTGCCGCCGGGGCGTCACAGCGCGCCCGGCGGCGCGGACGGCGCGCCCATCGGCTCGGAGCTGGCGCGTCTGGTGGCGCGCTGGCGGCAGCTGGCGCGGCTCGAGCGGCAGACGTTCGAGGCGCTGCACGCCGCCCAGCGCCGCCAACGGGAGGTGCTGAACACGCAGCAGCGGCTGCACGGCGCCCGCCTGCAGGAGGGCAGGCGCGCCCGGGCCGGCATCCTGGCCTCCTGCGACGTGCTGGAGCGGCTGATCGCCAGCGCCTGACGCGCCGCCGCGGAGAACTGAGTCGGGGCTGAGTTCGGCGAGCGGCTGAGTTCGATCTCGTCGGAATCGCTGTTACTGAGCGCGGCTGTGCGCCCTGGAAATCAATTGGGTGCGTTACTCTACACGGTCGTATGTATATGATGGACCTATGCAACTTACGTCGAACAATTGTTCGGTTGACGCTTTGTTTTGTTGATGAATTTATTTATGTTACAACATTTTCATTGATTTCTACGTATATTATCCACCGTTTGATTGATATTCTTTCAAATAAACTTCATTTTTGTCATGTGTCTTTTTGTTCCTCTTGCCTACGATGTGGAACACCGAACCCGTTTTCAAGCAAAGAAAAAAAGCGAACTCGTGGGAACGCAGCGATCAACAGACATCTTACATACAAACGGTATATATTTATCACAATGCGGCCGGCTGGCGGCCGACCACCGGCCGCCCGATGAAATTGATACCCTGAGCCGCTTTCGATCGAACCAGCGCACCGTTTGTTCGTGCGCTTCATGGCAGGCAGAGAGCCAGAGAGACGGGCTTGGCCCTCCAAGCTCTCGAAACGCTTCGTACAGCCACGGAAGAAAACTCGCAGCGAATGTCGGTGTCTGCCCGCAGACATGAATGAAACAACAGTCTTCCTCCTACAACACGTCATCTATGGGCACCTGGAGCGGGCAAACGCTGCAAAGTGACAGCCCGAACATAATACATTATCATCGCTCCTGAATCTCGAGTCTGGTGTGCGCGGCACTGCGCCCTCTTACCAGCGCGGTTTGAACGATTCTTGCGCGCGTGGAGATCCCACACGATTACGCCGCGCTGTACACCACATACAATAGCTCCTCGGGGCTGGTATACAACACCGTCCACTACCACACACAGTCACACACAAAGTAGTCACACAGTCACACAGGTCAGCAGCAGCGCCAGGTCGAACGGGGGTTTCACTGTACCCCAGAGTCACACAGGTCAGCTGCAGCAGCCAGCGCCTGGCCGAACGGGGTTCCACTGTACTCCAGAGGGCCCACCCCGGTCAGCGGGCCGGGTTATTGTTGTTGGGGTCGGTCGGCCTTCTCAGTGCGCGGCTGACCATCCTATTAGCTGCCGGCACCGCCAGCCGCATCGGACGCCGCTCCTCCACTACCACCGGCGGCACGGGCGGGGGCGGCGGCGGCGGCGGGGGCGGCTGCCGGCCCGCCAGTCACGCGTCCGAAGGCAGCAGGCCCAACGCCTGCAGACAGGCCGCCGCCGCGCTCGCCTTGGCCACCTTCTTGGTCGAGCTGTCCATGCTCGGCTGGTAGGTGACGGAGTTCACAGTCACCTGAAGGGCGCAGGGAGGGGTCAGTGGTAGCTCCACAGCCACCTAAAGGGCGCAGGGACGGGTCAGTGGTAAGCCCACGGTCACCTGAAGGGTAGAGAGCACGGGGTCAGTGGTAGCTCCACAGTCACCTGAGGAGCACAGGGACGGGATAAAGTGATAGACGAGGCGAAGTGAAGCCGGGGCATAGCCGGGGTCACCGATTGGCGTCGCCAGTTATCTTCGGGTAGTTAGTGAGCGCAGATGCTTCAAACGTAGCATGACAGGGCAAATGCTACGTGAATGAGTGGGCTTGACATTGACTGAATAGATGACTAGAAATATAAACACAAGAATTTACAATATTGGTGATCCATCCCGCTTTACCTGATTTCCCGATTTGCATTTGTAACACAGCTCGTCCGTTACACCACTCGTAAGTCATAAGGTGGCCCGTTGTCCACCTTATAAGAGGAAGTGTTTCTGTGTCCCTACCTTGTAGAGAAAGTGTTTGCTGGTTGCCTAGTACCTACCTTGTATAGGAAGTGTTTGCTGTGCAGTGTGTACCTACCTTGTAGAGGAAGTGTTTGTTGTGCGCCGGGCCGCGGTCCATGCAGAGCTGGAAGTCGGGCGGCCCCCAGCGCCGCTTCGTACACAGCTCCATCAGCGCAGAGATCGGGTGTTTGCCTGGCGCGGGAGCGGAAACACCGACCGTCATTCACAGTCAGCGGAAACGTCAGCCGAGCGACAGGCTGGAGATTTTCAGCGATGAAATTTTAGGTAGCATTTATAACAACAAGGAGCTAGTACACATGCAATCAAAATTTGAATCATAGCAACTGTTCGGTTTTATCCAGTCTTAACATTGTGAGGACTGTATAAAAATGTCATCGCCTAGCCCAACAACTCACACAGCGGATAACACATCAGAGAGTTCACCGTGCTCCACCGGTCGCTCCGACTGCGGGCCGGCCGACGGCCGCTCACCCGACAGGCATGTCTCTCCGCCACTCACCGGACAGATCCTTGACGGTGGTCATGGTGACGGGCGCCTGCCGCTTGGCGCCGGGCCGCTCATCCTCCGACACCAGGCCCTTCTTGTCCATCTTGACATCGAGCAGCAGCGGCGTCAGCGAGCCGTCCTGGTTCTTGCCCAGGCCCTGGCCCGGCCTCCAGCCCATCTTCTTGAGCAGCAGCTCTCCCACGCCGCCCTTCACCGGCGCAGACGTCTTCAGCTGGTTCTGCGGTGGGGGTGCCGGGGAGGGCGATCAGCGGCCGCGGACGGACGGCATGGGGAGCGGGGAGGGCACAGCAGACACACAGACACAGACATGTTCAGCAGGGTAGTGTACAGTCGAGCTACCGTACCGGCGGCGGCGGCGGAGGCAGAGTGGTCGCCGGATCTGCCGCGCCCCGGCCGGCCGGCGGCGGGCGCTCCCCCGGCGCGTCCGGCCGGCCCGGGCGCCACTTACCACCAGACGAGCGGCGGCGCGGCACGCCCGGTCCCGTCGGCGCGGCGCAATCCTGCTAGACGGCACTGTCGGCAGCGGCGGCGGTCAGTTCAGCTTGGTGCGCCGGCGGCCGGCCGACGCCCCCGGTCCGCCGGTCCACGGACCGGGGAGATCGGCCGGTCCGCCCCTGACTGACAGCAGCCGGGCAGGCCGGCAGGCGACCCGGCCCCGCGCGACACGGGCCGGGCCGGCTGCCGGCCCCGCCGCACTAACACGCAGCCAAGCTCAACTGACCACCGCCACGCAGCGAACACAATGACAGGTGGCAACGGGACTGAGACCCCTTCTGATGGACATGTGTGTAATCGCTCCCAAATGAAGAACAAATCGTATACCCATTGTAAAGAGATTTTACTGCTGACTAGATCCCAGAGCTGGTATAACTGTTCTGTACTGTCTGGGTGTATCTAGCCCGGGGACGGCTGCCTATGGGGCGGTGGCCGGCGCGGCGGGGAGGGCGCAGTCCACCTTTTTGGCCCAGGCCTGCTGGCCGGCGCTAAGCTCAGCTGCGCTCAGAACCCGCGCGCCCGTCGAGCCGTGGAACACGCCCGGACGCTGCTGGGACGCCGCCCAGTTCTGCATCTGAGAGCACAGGGCGGAAATGAGTCAGTGACATAAACATCAGCAAAGGCATGCAGATAGATGCTGCCTTAGAAATTTCGCGAACAAACTGGCGTACAAACTGGGGACCTAGCGACAAAACAATGCTAAGATCCAGAAGTTTTGATTTTTAGGATAATTTTGGTACATTTTCACTCGAATAGATCGAACTGGGGACCAAGGACGCGCATTTAGCGTCCACGGGCCGTCTAACCACAAAATGCCTGAGCGCCGCGGGGGACCACCTGCGCGGCCCGGTCAACCCTCGGCGGAGTTCCGACTCACGTCCTGGTGAGCGCTGTCCATGAGGTGCTGGGCCTGCCGACTGTGTGGGTTCTGTTGCAGCTCACGGATGGCCGTCAGCCGCCGACTGACTATCGTGTTCAGGTCCACCTCCGGCTGCCGGTACAAGCAGACGGGCGGAGAAGGTTACCAGAGGGTCGGCGGTACACGTCATGCGGATACGGTAAGAAGGGTATGACACACTGGCGGTACAGACAGACAAACAACTATAAAACAGACGGACAAAAGGGGACTGCCAGGGGTCAGCGGTACTCATTAACAGACAGGGGAGGGCAACGGGACAGCTTAACAGACTGAAATGCTCCACAGCCCAAAGTACATCGTCAACTGTCATTTCCGTTTCTACTGACCTCAGTCTTTCCACGCACGTCCCGCCCCCCCCCCCCCCCCCCATAGCCCAATAGTGCCCCGGTTCAGTTGGCTCCCGACCTGGTCCCAAACGCCGATCCCAGTAGCTGCCCCGCTCCCACTGTCCCCAGCGCCCCGTTCTCGTACCGGCGGCGGCGGCGTGGGGAACACGCTGTCCGCGGGAGCAGGGGCAGCGGCCGGTGTCGTCACCGGAGGGGGTACCGGCGCCGGCACCGGAGTCGGCGCCGCTGTGGCGGTCGCGGGCTCAGTGGCCGCCGGTGGAGCCTCAATGGCCTTCGGAGCGGCGGAGGATGACTTGGTCTTGTTCTCCGGCTCCACAGGCACCCACTCCAGCTCTGAAGAAAGAGAGGGAGAGAAAGGGAAGGATCAGCATTCGTGATCCGTGATCAGCGGCCCACCCTCATACTTCGTGGAACATTCATGAATCCCCACAGTGTATGCATGTGTTTTGCGTGTGCCTGGGCCCCAGCCGTCGTTCCGCCGACCTCACCTTTGGTCCTGTGCTGCTCGCCGCTGGAGACGGGGAAGCTGGAGCTCAGTTTGGCCACGGTCGCCTGCCGCTCGGCGTGCGTCTTCACCGGCAGCTGCGGCGCGTTCTGCGACACACAAAAACGCTCAATGAGACACGCCGAGTAGTGAGAAGAAACGGACATAAACAACGCTTCTCCGGAACTACCTTGGTCAGACGCAGTTTTAAAGCCGGGCTATTAACACCCACCATTGCAAGGTGTAATAAGTTGAAACCAGGAAGCAAGACGAAACAAGATGCAAAAATGAAAAGAGCACGACCCTGGCCCGCTAAACCAGTCCGATGAGCGGAAGTCGGTTGGTCCTGCCCGTACCCGGATGTTCATGACGATGTGCGACGGCCGCTCTTTGACGGCAAACGGGTGGTGGAAAGGCGCCTCGTCGTCCGAGGCTCGGCGCCCGCCCGGCCGGCCGCCGCCGTCACTCTCCTCATCCCGGAGACGGCGGCACATCTCTGAGGGTGGGAGGGATGGGCGTAAATACGGGACAGGGGGGGGGGGGTGTATCTCTGAGGGCTGTGATGACGAGCATAGACACGGGAACTAGGAGGCGGCGGCACATCTCAAAATAGGGAGACAGGGGTGGCGGCATATCACTGAGGATGAGCGAGAGACGGGCGTAAATAGGGAGACTGGCACAGCGGCACAATATCTCTGAGGGTGAGGGAAAAACGAGCGAAGATCCGGGACAGGGAGCGTGGCACATCTCTGAGGGTCGGGAGACGAGCATAAATACAGGACAGACATCTCTGAGGGTAGGCCGGAGAGACAGGCGTAAATGCGGGACAGGGACGGCGGCACGTCTCTGAGGGTGGGAGAGATGGCCGTAAGACAGTGACTCGGGAAGGGCACTCTGAACGACTGGCAAGGCACACGAAGAGTGGGTGCTTTGATCCATATCACTATTACAATTAATGGCGATCTCGTGGCCTTTCCCGGCCCCGGGAGTCAGCCCCTGTCCCAAGGGTGAAACTAACCCCTATCCCCACAACAACCCACCGCTAGTGCCCCGAGCTCATCCCGTGCCCCGCCGGCCCGTCCCGCAGCCGTGCCGCACTGACCGGTCAGCTGGTGGAGGTTTTTGGCGGTGGCGCGGCGCGGGTCGGGCAGCGCCGCCTCCAGGCCGGCCGGCAGCAGACCCTCCTCGCCGAGCCGCAGCGCGTTCCGGCGCGCCACCTCCAGCAGTCGGCGCTTGTCGATCCGCTCGCGCAGGTCGCCCCGGTCCCGGTCCCGCCGGTCTCCCCGGTCCCGGTCCCGGTGGTCGTGCTGGTCCCAGTCGCGGTCCCGGCGGCTCGACCGCTCCCGACTCCGGTGCCGCTCCCGGGAGGCCGAGCGAGAGCTGCGTCTGCGGGAACGCGAACACGAGCGGTTGAGGCGGAGCAGTATGAACAAAGACCCACACGTCCAGGTAATTCATATTTGCTACAATTGAATACTTCGTGCTCATTTCATTTTGATCAATTTCGGTGATAAACAAAGCATCAATGCGTCATTCGGGAGAACAAATAGCATATCGGAACAAGCAATCGACCAGAACAGAACCCAAACAATAATATTCTGTGCTACCTATGTAGCGCGTAATTCTCCCCAGCTGCCGTGTACCGGTCGGAGTTTTGTCGCCGCCCAGCTCCCCCACCCACCTGCGGCGCGATGATCGGTGCCTCTCGCGGTGGCTGTGCCGCCCGGAGTCCCTCGGCGAGCGGTCCCGCTCCCCGTCCCTCTCCGAGTCCCGGTCCCTGGTCCGAGAGGAGGAGCCGCTCCGGCGCCGGCTGGGGACGAAGCAAACACGGTGCGTACAGGGATGACCAGTGGTTACACATTGATGGACACAATACAGAGGAGCTACATGAATACATTTATGGCCAGGACGTGACTGGTAGATAAGGTACAGAGGATACACTCTGGGGACCTCGGCTACAATTGCCATCTGATGAGGTGGGATTTAGAGACACATGGGGTGCTAAAGACAACAAATCAAGGAAAAGACAACAATTCACTGAAGTTATTCTCGAACAGCCTAAATCAGCAGTGAGCTCAGCAAGCTAAAAAAGGAAGCGGTGGACAAGACTCTTGCCACGAAAAAGTCAGACACATGCATACCGTTTGTGGCGACTGGATGATCTGTCTCGTTCTTTCTTGTGTGCTTTCTTCGACTTCTTTTTACTATCTTGGTCAGTTTTGTCCTTTTTCTTACCAGATTCCTCATTTTCGTCGCTGGAAATCTCTCCATCGTCAGCATTGGAATGCTCCGTCTTGTCCGCCGCATCCTCCTCGGCGTCGGCCTTATCGGCTAGAAAACATAAATGTTGAGCAGGTAAGCAAACCTCCACAAACGTGTTCGGTGGGGTATGGGGACGTGGAGTGTAAGCACTTTATATTGTGTGCAGTGCCCAGAGTTCCTATACTGCAACCCAATCAGCACCAGTCACTGTTCCCCCAGTAACTCTACCAGCGCTCTCTCCATTTACCGGGACGTCCCGTCGAACAATGGTCGAAAACCGAGCCTCCAAATGGGGCCCGGTAGGTCACCACCGTCCAGTGTGCCCACTAGCCGTCCCGCAGTCCACCCCCGCTGCCCCGTAGTCTCCCCACCCCCACCCGCCCGCCGTCTCCTCTACAGTCTCTCCTACCACCATCCCGCAGTCTCCCACCGTCCGCCGCACCTGGCGTATCGGCCGGCCCGGCGGCGTCGGAGGACGAGTCGCTGATCTCGCCGTCCTCGTAGCGCGCCTGCCGCTCCGCCTCTCGGCGGCGAGCCTCCTCCTCTGCCTGTTCAAACACCGCAGAGTGCTTGAGCGAGCGGATCACGATGGTGGCACCGCGCCGCGCCTGCCGACCGGCCGGCTCCGCGGCCGCTGAAAGGGACAGTGAGTTATCAGAGACGCGCCTGGCAGCTGCCAGCTGGCCGGATCCGGGGCCGCTGATGGGATGGGGTAAGGGGGCACCATACGCCAGCCCCAGAACGGGGGATGGGCAGGCGGAATGAGCACGTCGCCATCGAGGTTGAGGGAATGTTAAACAATATTTGCACGCGTAAATATAGCACTTTCTCCAAAACATGCATCAACACTGTATTAGTCTTCGTTCAACCCAGAAAAGATCAGAATTTGAGCTTTCTGGCATCGGCCATTGTTATGACGTACCATGTGACGATTAACTGAATCTTTACGTTGCACCACAGCCGGCGTACGACGTTACCTTTCTGAGGTGGGGGCTGCTCCTCCGATCCGGTATCGGTCGCTGCCGGCGCACCCGCTGGTTCCGGAGGCAGCGGCAACGACTCCACCGGTGCAGCCGACTCCCGCGGAGCGGCGGCTGTCGGCGGCGACACCGTCTCGGGGGCAGGCGCCGGGTCCGCGGCGCCCTCCGAGGTCTCGCGGCGCTCGGTCGGTTCGGCGGCCGGAAGGGTGGTCCAGCCGCCGGTGCGGGCCGGCGGGGCGGCGGCCGGACTGCTCGGCGACTCCGCGGACCCGGCCGGTGGCGGACTCGGACTGGACACCGTCTTCCACCCGCCGCCGGAGTCCACGACCGGCTCCTCCACCGACCCGCACCGCTCCGCCTCCGACCTCCGCCGGCTGGAGCGGCTGCGGCGCCGGCGCTCCGTCAGAGTCCCGCCGCAGCTGCCGCTCCGACTCCGACTCCGACTCCGACTGCGGGCCGAGCGGTGCCGGCGCCGCTCCTTGCCGTCCGCACCGCCCGAGGACCGGTGTCGGCGTTTGGCGCGCGGAGAGCGGTCGGCACGTGGCGCCGAGCGGCCTGTCGACACGTCCTCGGCGACGGCAGGCTTACTGGGACTGACCAGTCTGGCCTTCGGCGAACGAGACCGCGACCTCTTTGTTTTGGACTTTTCACAATCCTCAGTGGAAAGACTGGAGTGCTTCCTCTTTTTTGGCTTTTGAGGAGCACCAGGACTTTCATCCTTGGTCTTCTTTTTATCTTTTTTCTTTTTCTTCTTCTTCTTTTCGTTGGAGTCATTATCAGCTATTTTTGAGTCATTGGACTTGTGCTTATGCTTCTTTTTCTTTTTCTTGTGTTTATGCTTATGTTTGTGCTTGCTCTTCTTTTTATCTTTCTTTTTCTTTTCTGTTGTTTTTGACTCATCCTGCTCAACATTATCTGTCTCTGCTAGCTTAAGCATAGGTGGCTCAGATGCATCAGATGCTTGTTCTGTATTGGATGAATCAGAATCACTGCCCGATTCTGATGAGCCATTTTTATCAGATTCATTTAATGGAGGGTCCTCATTAACAAACATATCAAACAGCTCAGATAGAATTTCAGTTGATGACTTATTTGGCTCATCCTTGTCTGCTACTGATTCAGATGTCATCGTAAAATGCTTTCTTCTTGCCAAATAACTTCAAGCACTGCTACCACTTTCTTCATATACCTGAAATACTGTAACAGCATGGAAGTATTTTATCACACATCAGGCATCAATCATACAAACCAAATGAAATCCCACGATAAACACATAATTAATTGCATGCATGTATTATTGTGCAGAGGTTTAACGTCTGCACCACGGTAGGTTATATCAATATAGAACTGTGAGAAAAGTTCTCTCCCTGTGAGAACTTGAACTGCCTGCAGTGCACCAGGCCTGCACAGTGCATTGGTAAATATCGGTAAATATTTAAACTACACGCTCACTACACCCAATCCCCAAATACCACGCCAAATACCATAGATGTATGGGGTACATGCGCATGCAATTTACACGGTGTTCTATATACTCTGATTTACACACCAACAGCACACCAACAGTTACTAAGAACGGGTATATACTGCCTTGCATAGGGCCTTGCTGCCTTGCTAAGAACCGAAAAAGAACTCAAACCTCAACTGTGTTGCGCCACCTTTATATTATGACGTATAAACTCAGTTGTTTTTGTAATCACAACAAAGGGAATGGTGCTTCATTCTTCCTTTTTTGTAAGAATTAAATTAAATTCAACAGAAAATACACAAAGCAATAGTTTAAGTTTACAAAAATGCATCTAAACAGAAAGCAAAAATTTGCGGCTCAAATGCTCACTTTAAATCTGCCTATTTGATTGGTTCAGAAACGACCTTGATGATTGCGTCACAGATTTTAAAATTACACAATGAAAATATTGTGCCTTGATCGCTCACGATTTTACGGCTAATTATGGCGCGCGTGTAATATACACACTGCTGGGAGTTCATATGTGTCGTAGTTCCCGCATTTTATTTGCGAGCTTTGAGGTTAAAGATTGTGTCAATAATCCTAAGCAGTTATTCCCACCAGTATGTCTGAGTCGCTGAAGGTAGAAAGATTCATTCGGTGTTTATAATATATTTGAAATCCACGGTAAGTCGCTTTTGTCTACAATTCGTTTTAGTGCTTTTAGATGGCTTTGATCCGTTCACTGAACACCTTAATCATTATTTGGCTGATGCACCTGTTTGAGCCTGTCCTGTAGCTCAGATGGTAAGAGCATTGGGCTTTCAGTAGTGAGACGAGAGCCTGGGCTGGGGCTGGGCTTGAGTTGCCTCAGCACTAGATATTTGAAACTCCCGATTTGGATGGCCTGCGGTTGGTAGGAGCCGCCTCTGCCAGTTTAAGTCAGTTGAGCGGGACAGGCCATAGCATGATAGCTACTTTTGAAGGGCAGGTTAAACTTTGGCATCTAAATTCTTCTGTTACCTTGGAATTATGAGTTTGGATGGTAGGTAGGGGTTGGGGGTCTATGCAACAAGTACGTGCTAGCTTAGACTCCTGAGTCCGGCTATGTAAATCCATCCATTCAAAGGTTTGAGTTTAAGTAAATATGTGTTTTTTGTTTTAGGTAGCAACTAGCAGGTAGTCAGTTCAAGACAAATGCTCTTGAACTGACTAAACAGTGGTGATTATGAAGCATGCCATAGTTTACAAGTGTTAACTTGTGCCATGCTGGTGATGAGTTTTCCATGGCATGCTAGGGGATGGGCATTTTCATGCCCCTATCTAACTCCTGGACTGAGCACATAGCTACACCAGGTAAGTGACATTCAAAAGAGCAATAAAAATGATGGGGAAACCAAAAATACCTACATGGATAATTTTTTTCAGGCTAGGTCAAAGGTACTGTCAGAGGTATTTAAAGGTCCAAGTTTACCTGTTTCAACATTTTTTGACAAACTGTAGCATAACTTGAGAACCACTAGAGCTACAGTACCATGAAAAAGTGCATTTGATTACTCTTTTAACATTCTTATGTTAACATGTCCCCAGATTTGACCTAAGATCAGTGGTTTGCCTAGCCTCCAAAGGGATAAACTCTAAGAATAGCAGTTTTTAAGAAAAATGGTTTTCAGTAACAACCATTGACTGAACAAAGGCTCAACATTTTGCCAACACTGTGTTCCTCTTGGCTCTTGCCAAGATGCATCAAATGATCTAAAATTTGACCTTGGAAGGTCATTTTGAAAATTTGACCTCAGGATAAGGTCATGATCTGAGCAAAAAAGGTCATATTGCATGTTTTGTATTCATATCATTGAGCTGAACACATCAAGGTGCACCTTCAAGCTAGAGCTAGAGCAATGAAAACATGTTTTCATTGCTCTAGCATGACTATCAAAGGTTATTATAGAAATTGCTGGGACCTGGATGACCTCGGGCACAGAAGGGGTCATGACTCACAGGTGCAATTTTATTATTAAGTGTGTCATTTTTACCTGTAAATCGATGTTTGGGAGTGTTAAAAACGATGTCACTCCAAAAGAGGCACATTATAATTTTTCTTCCATTGACTTATTATGGAGAAGTCACAAAATTAACCTGGCCTTAGGTCTTTGATCTCAAAATTCTGTGATATTATTATTTTTTTTACATACTTCTACTCTTATCAATTGTCAAAAGTTTTAAAGCGACCATTCAGTTGGTGACTGGTGTAGCTATGACAAGCAATGGAACTTTTTCGGAGCTATAGTACCTAAGGTGACATGACGTGACTTGGTGACCTGACTTTGATCGACCTGTGTCTGAAATTTTCACAACTTGTGCAGAAAAGATGTATTATGAAGTGTACCAAAAGCAGAGCCCCTCATCTACTGGATTGAAGATTTTCTGATTGGTCGATCTCTGTCTGTGTCAGTGAAAGGTGTACTGAGCAAAACTCGCCCCGTGTCCAGTGGGGTCCCACAGGGCTCGGTCCTTGGTCCGATTTTGTTTTTAGTTTTAATTAACCATATTGGTAGCAGTCTCGCATCTAGTCACAAGATTTTCGCTGACGATCTGAAGCTTTACATGAAAGTTGCCCACAGCTCAGCAGACGCATATGACCATGCCTCCTCGCTTTGTCAACAGGACATCACTGCCCTGCACCGTATTTCTTCGTCATGGGACCTTCGCCTGAACCGTGACAAATGTGTGGTCATACGTTTTCAGAGCAAGGCTCAATCCCAATCTCTTCCACCTCCAGTGTATGACATCGATAATTCCCCGATTCGAGTTGTCCCCTCCCATCCGGATCTCGGAGTACTGGTGGACTCGAGCCTCAAATTCCACGACCACATATCCGCTACTGTCCACAAGGCCGCAGGTCTTTCTCAAAACTTCCTGAGGAGCACGGTGTGCCGATCTCCGGACTTGATGCTGACACTTTTCCGTACTCACATAAGACCAGTTATCGAGTACTGCTCGTGTGTGTGGCACACTGGGTACCTGGGGGACCTGCGCGCTCTGGAGTCGGTCCAGCGTCGCTGGACCAAGCATATCGCTGGCCTGTCGAGTCTGGATTATCGGTCCCGGCTCTCATCGCTGAACTTGTATTCAACTCAAGGCAGACTGCTAAGGGCTGATATGATTCAGTACTGGAAGGTGTTCCATGGCAAATGTGCGGTGTCCCCCGCTGACTTGTTCACTCTACCTCCTCAGTTAGGCATGCGCGGACATTGCTTTAAGATTTTCCATTCCCGCTCGCGGACTGATGTCAGGCGTAGGTCATTCTCGGTGCGCGGTGTGAGACTATGGAACTCCCTCCCGGAGCACGTCGTTTTGGACTCATCGGAGCCGCCTGCCCGTGGCGAGCCCGCGCACCAATCTGGTGGCGAAGTGCTCCGATCTTCCAGTCGTCTCCACCAAAGTCTACAACCTGTCTGCAACCTGCGACCTGCTGCGTCCCTGGGCTGGGCCCAGGGACGCTGAACGATGATTAACCGGGCAGGCCGCGCCGCGCCGACCGGCCCATGCGGCGGGGAAGTCGCACCCGACCGCAACGGGGCCCAGCGAGCGCGGCCTCCCACCCGGCGACATCACCCCCGAGACGGACAGCCCGGACCTCACAGACCGGACCCACCTGCCACCCCAAGCCGCGAACCTCGATCGACCAGACAGCGACCAACCGGATCACCGAAACAAGACCTCACCATCTTCCAACTGAACTGCAATGGACTGCGGGCGAGGGCAACGGAGTTGGCAAAAAGGATCGCTGACGAGAGGCCACACGTGGTCGCCCTCCAGGAGACAACCCTACCGCCGGACCTGCCGTTCCCGGCGGAGCTCCTGAGACTCGGCTACACGGTCGCTGTCCGGGCGGACGAGCCGGTGCAGCCCGAGCGCAACCTGGACCCCCCAGACCTGGGGCCGCCTATCTCTCCGGTGACCGACCGGACGACGCGCGCGCCGGCCGTCCGGGACGGGCAAGCTCGGGACCCGGCGGAGGCCTCGAACCCCCCTCGGCCCGGCGGACCGCGACCCAGGACCTGTCGCGCCAGGGGCGAGCCGCCGGAACGCCGCTGCCGGGGTTGCCGGAACAAGAGAGCCTGCACCGACAAACGAACGCCCGGGACCCCCGACCGTGATGGGGAGCCCCCGGGGACGGAGCGAAGGAGTGTGACCTCTCCGAGCCGCGAGCGCAACACGGGAACCACTCCCCCGCCGCCCCTGCTCGGCCCGTACCGTGACGGTACGCGCCTGGAGCGGGCCAAGGGGGGCGTGGCGATCCTGACCCGGAACGACCTCGCCTTCGACCCACTACCGGCACCATACCGACCCGAGAGAGACTGCTCGACCTACATCGGAGCCGTAGCCATACACACATCAGACAGGACCATAAACATCGTGAACATATACAGCCCACCGGCTAGATGGATGGAAGGACAAGGAACCCAAGAACAGTCACTCGAGCTCACCAGACTCTCGCCCCCAACCAGCAGCATCATCATGGGAGACGTAAACGCCCACAGCGACTCGTGGGATCACCACCAGCGTCCCTCACATCTTGGCCTCCAGATCGAGGAGTGGACCACGGACTCTGGCTTGCTGATTCTCAACGACGGCTCTCACACCCGCGTCAACCCAGCCACGGGCGGACTCTCCACTCCCGACATCACTCTGGCCACCGCTGATGTCGGAGCGACGGCGGAGTGGAGCACTCAACCGAACCTCGGGTCCGACCACCTTCCGATCAGGACCACCCTGACCGCCGACCTGCCGCCGACCCGCCGAGGCAGGGGGAAGTTCTCCTTCCGTAAAGCAGATTGGACGGGATTCAGGGAGTCCCTGGAAAAGAAGATGTCTGAGATCAACGTGGACACCCCCATCAACCAGCTCAACCAACAAATCACGAAAGCCATCACGTCGAGTGCACGGAAACACATACCGTTTGGTAACGGCAGAAGCGCGAAGGGCCCCTTCTGGAGCGATAAATGCGAAGAGGCAGTGAAGGCGAGAGATGCAGCCCTCCGGACGGCCACGCAACCATCCCGCACCAGGGCCGACATGGAGGCATACCAGCAGGCGCGAGCCGAAGCCGACAAGGTGATCACCGCCGAGAAGAGAGCCCACCTGGACGAGACGCTGAAAAACCTCAGACCGGACGCTGACCTGTGGAGAATCATTCGAAACCTAGACGGAAGACGGATCCCCAAGCCTAAGGAGTCCATCCAACGAGAGCAGAGGGGCCCAACCCCGCCCTCGGGCCCAGCCGTTACCGACAAACAAAAGGCGAACCTCTTCATCAAGGAATACGCCGCGGTCTCCCGGATCAAACTGGACAAACACGCTGACCGACAAATCAACAAAGAGGCTAGACGCGCCACCGGCCCCTGCTAATGCAATGGTCTGAAGACAGGACTGTGCTCCCCTTTCTCCAGGAGAGAGCTACAGAACGCCATAGGCAAGCTGAAGCTCGGCAGCGCTCCCGGCCAGGACGAGGTGTCCAACGAGATGCTGAGACAACTGGGCCCGACGGCGGAGAGGATGCTACTCCACCTCCTGAACACGTCATGGCGCTCCGGCGAAACCCCAGCAGCCTGGAGGCGAGCCACTATCGTACCAATCCTCAAGAAGGGGAAGCCCGCCAGCGCCCCCGGTAGCTACCGGCCCGTCTCCCTGCTCTCCTGCATCGGGAAACTCGCGGAGCGACTGGCCCAACGGCGACTCCAAGCTTGGCTGGAAGCCCACCACAAGATGGACCCTAACCAAGCCGGCTTCCGCAAGGGGCACAACACTAACGACCAACTGATCAAGATGACTCAAAGCATCTTCGACGGCTTCGAGGCCAAGAGCCCCAACCGATCCGCCCTGGTGCTGCTGGACTTCCAGCGTGCCTATGACCGCGTGTGGCACGCAGGACTGGCCGCCAAGCTGGCCCGTCTGGGTACGCCCGCTTGTGTAACCAGGTGGATCATGGCCACACTCCGCGACAGACGGGGACGGGTGCGGTGGGAGACATCCTTCTCGGACAGCCGCCTGTTCCCCCAGGGTCTGGCCCAGGGCTCCGTGCTGGCCCCCCTGCTCTGGAAATTTTGACCTCAGGTCAAGGTCATGACCTGACCGGAAAGGGTCATGTTGCATATCAGTCGATCCGTATCGTCGAGCTGAACACATCTAAGGCGTTTTCATCGCTCTAGCATGCCTCTATCAAAAGTTATTTGCGAAAAACTGTTAGATACCATTCGTGACCTAAGATGACCTCAGGGCATAAACAAGGGTCACGGACACCATTTTCATTTTTCATGTTCAGTGTGTCTAAACCACTTGTAATTCGGTGTTTGGGAGTGTTTATAATGTCTTTCGTCCAAAAGAGGCGCATTTCAATTTTCTCCCATTGACTTTTATAATGGGGAGGTCGCAAAATTGACCTGACCTTAGGTCATCGATATCAAAATTCTGAGACATACATTTTGTACATGCTATTGCTCTTAGCAATCGCTGAAAGTTTCAAAGCGATCGGTCACTCGGTGTAGCTATGACAGACATTGAAACTTTTTATGAGGTGAGGTCACTTAAAGTGACCTGGTGACCTGACCTTGAATGACCTTGGTCTGAAATTTTCACAACATGTGTAGAATTGATGTATAATAAGGTGTACCAAAAACGGAATTTGGAAAAAACCACAAGGGGGGGGGTGTTCAACCCCCCCCCCCCCCCCAGCAGGGCGCGGGTTAACTGGCGATTGTTTAATGCGGAGTGATCGAAAAGAAGATGTCAATAGCTAAAGTTGCAGCTGCAAGGGTGACGATACATATAAGCTACATTCAAAGTTTCATTGTAGTCTGGCTAATCATTCCTAAGCTTCAGAAGCAGAACATACCCATGACTGAAACCCCACTTTACTTCTGCTGTGGACTGTACCTGTCAGATTCTAAGTCCTTGATCATTGGCTGTTATCCAGCCCAGGTCAGTGAGCGAGATGTCAGGAGTAGCTGTACCTCCTGCTGAACCTGGTAAACCGCCTGAATGGAAATCTTAAACCTGTACCTCTAGAATGAATGAAAATCTTTTGAGATTAGGGGTATTATGGGGTCCTGATTCTGAATTTCACACTAGTTGTGTTCAGGGGTGGACAATTGTGCAAAGCTGGGGTAGTTAATGCATTTTATCATATAGGGTTATATAACTTGAAGTTGTCGGTCCCTGAAGTATTTTTATTTTATTTTGATGAAAACAAAAGCCTTTGTACCCGCCTGGAATCAGGAGGGGGCCCCGTTTCCAACACTGGACTCCGGTGCCCGTCAGTGGCTCCGTGGCGGTCGCCGCTGGCGGAACTCCGAGGCCGGAAGTGCAGGAGCCGATAGCCGTCGGCGCTTCCGGTCCGAGCGGCCGGCGTCCGCCGCGACCCGACAGCGCTCTCGGGGCGTATCGGGGTTTGTCTGAGCCGGGAGACTGGGAGTATCGTCTCACAGGGGTCGGTCAGGTCCGGTGGTGTGTAACTAGGGGGGGGGGGAAGGGGGGACAGTCTCGCGACCGGTCGGCCCCATGACAGACGATCCAGTGGTCGTGTGTCCAGTGTCACGCGCTCCCAAAGTCGGAAATTGGTGACCTGCTCACTGCTCAGCAACCCTCAATGCCCGCTCATTGCTCATCAACTGTAAACGATGGGGCGGGTCACATATTTGAGCATTTGATGAGGACATACCTAAAGAGTATAGCGTAGACCCGATAGCGTAATCCACAGCGCTATTTCGCTTCAGGTGGAGTGCTTCTGGGTACAGGGAGCGAAATATATGACCACGCATTTTGGTGACATTATCATGTCTTTTGTTGTTTGCAAAGGAAAAAGGCTGCTCAGTACTCATTGGTTTATTCGATTGGTTTATTTTTTATTTATTTGATCGTTATTGGTCAAATGAGGGGATGATTTGAGCTTAATTTTGCGGTTGAGCTGTTCTCATATCTAAGAGTAAGTCACCCCATCATTATCACCTTTTCTCAGTTAATTTGCTATTATTTTTGTGCGTTCTTAGACGTGGTGCTGGTACAGGCGAGACCTGAGTCTAACTCCGGGCACGCCTCCCATCTCGTCAATCTCTCCATTTCGGGTCGTTTTACGCGTCAAAGTCCATCGTTGACGCCAGCTCCGTCTATTATAGTTGAATAATTCGCGTGTCGGCCGCTGGAGAGCGGCCAGTGGCGGTAAATGCATGTCGCCTGTCGCGGCTGTCCCCGGTGGGACGCTATTCCTGACGGGCCGCCGACCCGCTCCTCGTCTTTGTATTGGCGCGGCGGCGACAGTGGCGCATCATCTGCCCGCAGCCCCCGGCTGGGCTAAACGGCTTCCACAGAGCCGCGGCCGCCTCTGTTCTCCGCGTGCTCCCTTGATCTACACGACGCGCCGTTCCTGGAGTTTTCTGTGCGCCACTGGTGACCCAGTCTGGGACCTAGATCAACACACCCCCGCGGTCCGCCAACGTAGACATGTCAAACCGCCACCCGGCGGCTGACATCCGCCAATGTCACACTCGACATTACTGCTGATAATTGCCCACATCACACACCACATACCCAAATCACATCACATCACACATCAGTTGATAGGTAACTGCCCACATTACACTCGACATCAGCTGACATCAGTCCACATTGCTTGCCTCCCGCATCATCTGACGTTTGACCACGTTGTCTCTGACATCATCTGACTTGTTTCCACCTAATAGCTGGCATCTGTCCGCTCTAACCCGACATCAGCTAACATATGTTCATATTGCTTGTCCCCGACATCAGCTGACATCGGTCCACATTGTTTGTCCCTGATATCAGCTGACATCTGTCCACATTGTTTGTCCCTGATATCAGCTGATTTGTGTCCACATTGCTTGTCTCCGACGTCAGTTGACATCTGTCCACATAGCTTGTCCCCGACAGCTGACGTGAGTCCATGTCTCTTGTCCCCAACATCAGCTGACATCGGTCCACATTGTTTGTCCCTGATATCAGCTGACATCTGTCCACATTATTTGTCCCTGATATCAGCTGATTTGTGTCCACATTGCTTGTGTCCGACGTCAGTTGACATCTGTCCACATAGCTTGTCCCCGACATCAGCTGACATGTGTCCACATTGCTTGTCCCCGACATCAGCTGACATGTGTCCACATAATGACATCAGCTGACATGTGTCCACATTGCTTGTCCCCGACATCAGCTGACATCTGTCCACATCACAGCTGACATCAGCGGACACCGGTGCTGTCCACAGTACCGTCGGCAGTGTAGTGACACGGCCGGCACGCTATAGATAGTCGGCGCGCCGTCTCCGCGACTGAGCGCTGTCCGTCGTGTGTCCGTGTGTCGACAGGCGGCGCGCGGCGCGCCAGTCGGCCGGCCGGCCGCGCCGCGTGCTGGCGGCCCGCGCAGCCGCGCCATGGCCGACGAGCAGCGCTACATCGTGGACGTGTTCGTGGGCGCGCTCAGCTCTCACTACGAGTCGCTCAGCATCCAGGCCAGCAAGGCCACATCGGCCGCCGAGATAGTGCTGTGCATCGCCGAGAAGCTGCAGCTGCCCGAGCCGGCCGCCTTCGAGCTGGCCGAGGTGGTCGGCGACGAGCACGGCAGGGAGTGCAAGGAGCGCCGGCTGGCCGGTGACGAGCGGCCCGTGGCCGTGCAGCTGTTGTGGCCGCGCCAGCAGCAGCAGCATCAGCAGCAGCACAGGTGAGCGGCGCCGAGAGTCGGCCGGGGCGCGGGACACATCAGATAGGGCGCGGGCTACATCAGACAGGGGCGAGGGCTCCCTCAGACAGGACTGCGGGGCTCTGGGGCACGGGGCGACCGTGACCCGGCGACCACGGTCACCGCTAGGCTTTGTCGTGATCTGTACCACCTGATTAGGTTTGTGTGCGCTGTGTCTGTTTTGCCTGTGAGTCATGCGTGGACTGAGTACGATAAGTGAAGGTCGATTGCCGACAAATATAGGCCTACTGGTACCGCCCCAGTCAGTAGATTTGGATACACGCCATTACTTACACGTTGTACACGCTATACCGGTCTTCATGCGACACCACGGCAGCTAACTGCGACCTCAGGCTCGGAACAATACTGGGCGTCCCGCAGTCCAAAGCGAGGACAACTCGGTCGGTTCTGTAGCCGTTTGATAGCTGCCTTATCCACTGTTGACCGGCGAGGATTGTTGAGATTGGAGAGAGGGGTTCGTGGCGGGGAGGAGAGGCAGAATCAAGTACCTATCAAGGGAGAAGGTAGAGACGAGAGCAGTGGCCTTTTGGTGTCGGGGGAGCGAATAGGGACGATGCGAGAGACAAGCTCAGGTAGGATGATTTTGCCGCTGAATGGCTTGTGCGCTGCGGCTGTCGGCAGGAGCTGTATCTTCCGGTGATTGTGGAGGCGCTGTAGCCTGGAGGTAGCTGGAGCCGGGTCTGGCTAAGCGCAGTGTGCTCAGACAGAGCGGTCTGTCTCTGTACCGCTCAGAGGGTCGCGAGTGACCAAGCGTCGGTGGCCGGCCGCGTGGCCCGTGCCAAAATATGACAGCCCGTTGTCAGAGCGGCGGGGCGCCATCCGGGCCCGGCTGAGTTTCGTCAGCTGGGAGCCGAGCAGCCAGACTGGGTCCGTGGCACTCGGCGCGTGAGCGACAGATGTCGACTGAAAAGGCTGGGCTGTCCACGGAAAAGGGACCGGGCTGTCCACGGAAAAGGCCAGAGTGCCCGCAACTCATGGACAAGAGGCCGGGCTGGTCACGGAAATGGGCCTGGCTGCCCACGGAATGATTGGAGGAGAGTGACTATGAACTTATGAGTGACCGTCAAATTTAAGTTCTGTACAGGTATTGATGATTTATTTCTTATTGCTTAGTGCTTGAATTAGGACTGGCTTTGAATAGGGACTAGCTTTGCAGTTTGCACATTTTATCATACATTGCAACATGCGAAGTTGCGTCGTAATACAACTGCACGCAACTCTGGCCACATGACAAAGCGTTACGCTGAACAAGCGTGTGGTGAGCGCAGCAAATGTCTGTACAGCTTCTTCTGTCACATTGTACTCTGGTTTTGAGGAAAGGCTCTGCTTTGACTGCAACTATGGCGTGGCTCCTTCATTCCTGGTCACTGTGAAAGAAAACAAACAGGAAATTAGGTGCATACGATGTCGAAAACCTGCCTGCTCCTTTTTGTGTTTACTGTCACGCTATGCTGGAAAGTATCACGTGCTTTCGATCTAGGGGTGCCTGCTGATTATTCGTCGCCCTTTTTGGGTCTCTGCGGCGCTGTGCACGCTGGTGATTTATGTAATCGAGGTGCGTCACAACCGGCTGCCCCCAAAAGGATTGTCATTTACCTCGCCTTGTAACCACCGTGTAGCCGGCCATGTAGCCGTGCCAGATAGTCACGCTGTGCAGAGCGTCTGACGTACGGCCTTTCACTGTCACAGCGCGGTGGTTCTTATGGGGTGAGTTTTCCATTAGACTCGTGCGACGAGGTGAATATCGTGAGTCGCCGTTCCCTTACCTTGCTCAGAATAGCCCCCTTAATAGGGACTGGAACGACGAGAGGACGCGGTCACGATACAGGGACACTGCCGGGTGTAACAGGTGTCTTGTCGGCCTCATTGGTCGGATGCCCTGTCTGCTTTTGCCATGTCATGCTCGTCCGAGCCTGGTCGGTCTGTCCCGCCACTGTCGTGAACGTGCCTTGTCCCCTTGTCGGCTCGTGCCGTTCCATCACCTCTCAGACTGCGACGGAGGGACACCGCCGCCTCTGTCCAGGCGAGTTGACAGCGCGCGCTGTCGGCGCCGTCTCGGTGGCCGGACACGCACCTGAGTCCGTCCAGGCCGGAGTTGGCACCGGTCGCCGCAGACGAGCAGTGGCCCCGCGAGCGACGGCGCCGGCCCGACCGGAAAACCCACTTCAAAGCCGCTGTGCGGGGATATGTGGACCACTCTCTGTGCAATGTGGCAGGGCCGGTCTGGCTGCGATACTCCAGTGAATGAAATGTTAATGTCCGTAACTTCATGGCAGTCAACACTGAACAGCCTGAATCAAAGCAGCAAACAATGAAGTGCAACAACAGAAGGGGCTAATTACTGTTTGTGAGAGGCCTGATTTCACCACGATTCGTTCCTCGTGTAGAGTTGCTACTGCTGGCGCGACCTTTGTATGGCATTATTCGCAGCTGGTTTGGTGCTCCGACTGGTTTTAAGGCAGATTATCCAGCGACTGATGCGTGTGCCGTCGCTGCTCCAGATAGCGCAGCTCTAAAACAAAAGCCGCTAACCCATAGCATGCCTTCAAAGTCAGCCCGCTCCCGTGCCGGTCTGATGAGGTTCGGCTGCTCTGGCTGCTTTTTTCACCGTGGGTACCGTGGCGGAGCCAGTCAGCTGATCGGATTAGATAGGCGCTGGCTGGGGTCGTCCTGCCCCTGAGGTCGGCAGTCGGCACGTGCCTCTGGGCAGTGTGTGACCGGTCACTCTCCCCTGTCACTGACCGGCTGACCCACACTCTGGTGTGGGTAGTGTGTGACGACCCGCCTGCGGCAGTGTCACTGCCTAGCCGCACCGCACCGGCGGCGACCGTTCTCCACCAGTGCCGTATTAGCTCAGTGCTACGGAGCCAGGCGGCGTTACGCAATGCTGACGACGGCCCGGCCAAGGGTAACGCGCCGGCGATTACCCCCAGCCCAGTTTGGGGGCACGCTGATGCGGCGGCCCACTTTATATGCACACACACACATACATTTGCGAGCATTCCGATCGCCTCGGCTGGGTCGTTTGCTACGGTGTGTGTCGACTCGGGCTGTGTCAGTGATTGCACTGTGTTGTGACTGTGTTAATCCGGGTCGTCTGATACGGTTCTCTGGTCACCGGGTCACGGCGTGCACTGTCGCAAAGACTGCCTGATAGTCTGTTGTGCCGATAACCATTGTACCGGTGGATTAGTATAATCGCCCGCGCCCGCCGCCGTGCCCACTCGGGTAGCTTGGTGACCTTGTCGAGAGTTGAATGCGTTGACCGGGAACGCTCCTCTGGCTCGGCTGCTCGCCGCGTGCGTGATTCATATCCTCACCCTTCCCTACCCTAGTGGCCGGGATTAAGGGAGCTAGTGACTGTCAGTTCACGGTTGGGAACGGAAGTCAAGCTGATGTGTGGTCTGGGCAGGATGACGGATGCCCGCGACCGACCCCGTGGAGGAAGACAGGGGATGTCACCTACTTCCAGGACTAGCGCGGTAGGATGTCCATGGACTCTCTGCTGTTCCAGTGACCATAGGCTATACAGGTGCGTCACCGTCTCTTTGCCGATCCGCTGGGCCGCCGCGCGCCGACCGACTCGCTCGGCCATACCGCAAATCTGATTTGCCGACGAGTGCGCCTGTTGGCACCGTGTTCGCACGCGCCAGTGCTGTCCGTGGGAGCGGCCACGCCTGGCGCTCGTGACGGCCGGGAAGTTGTTGGGTGTCTGTGATGGACGGTATGGAGCCATGTGAGCGGCTGCGGCCGACTCACTTCCGCGGGCCGCGGAGCTCGGAGCGTACAGGAAGCCGGACACGGTGAATCGGAGTCCGCTATCGTGTCCGTATGTAGCAGAGGAACTCTGACCAGCTGGAGGTCAGCGGTGACAGTCCTATTGTCTGGTCAGAATGACCATTCCACAGCGAACGTCGAAACCTACCGGCTAGCAGATGACCACTGTCAACGGAAGAACTTCGAGTGAGCGAAGAGCGTCCTGCGATTCATTCTCCTCTGGGTTGTTTGTCCACGTGATCAGCTCTGGCTGCGGACGATTCAGCTTCGGCCATTTTGCATGCACGCGGTAAACGCCTCGTAGCCAGCTAATTGTCTTCTGCCGTCCGTGCGGCCCACGCAATGTTGTGCTGGGCGTGGCTGTTTGTTCCAGTGCCTCAGCTACCACCCTCTCCACGTCACCGGCCGCCGCCCCTGTCAGCCGCCACTTGGCTGCTCCTCCCCGCCCGCGGCGCCCTTTGAGCTGCCGCCGCGCCCGCGGTCGGCCGCGGCAGCCCTCTGAGATGCCGGCGCCCGTCGCTGGCCGACCCTCAGCGCGCAGGCCATCGGCCAAAGCACGCACACCGCTCGCGCGCACGTGCACGAAAATCGCGCAGGACACAGCGACCGTTTCGTGGTGCGATGAACGGTGAGAGGGGAGGGGAGGGTGGAGAGTGGTGCACCGTCACAAGTCACAACTCACAACCTGCCGCACCTGCGGCCGGTTCAGTGCCTCCCATCGACGAGTTTTTGACTCGAGTCGCCTTCGTGAAAGGTGAACACCAGGCGAACCTATGACGTGCGGCTTTTGGTACGACTGAGGTGGGGCACTGACTGTTTCATTGGGCTTGGCCAGGAGTTTTGTGGGCCGATCTGTAGCCGATTATGATTCAAACTTCCGTTGCTAATTATGAAACGCTGACGTGATCAATGAAAAACCTTGCATTCTTTTACGTAAAATATTTTGCGGGAATGTTTGTATCCGGTGTCTTCTATCCAAATGCCGGCCTCCTTGCTGATACTTTCCTTTAGCCAGGCAGCTTGGTCCAGTTGCCTTTATTTTTGCCGTGATTTGTTCCTTGGTAGGGAAAGCCGACTTTATAGATGTTGATATGAAGCTCTTGTAATGTGATGGCGCCACATCTTTCTTTGTTGATAAATTGTTGACAGCGTTATCGCACTTTCTGTCGAGGCTGATAACCAAC